TGCATATGTCAGTGCAGGTATCCTCACAGTTGGAAGAGGAGGAAGCATGTGAACCAGGATCTTCACAGTATGAAGAGTAAGAAGCTAGTATACCAACACAAGTGTCTTCGCAGTCGGAAGAACTGAACGCGCGCATGCCAGCGCAGGTGTCCTCACAGTCGGAAGAGGAGGAAGCGTGTGTACCAGTACAAGGGTCCTCACAGTCGAAAGAGCTGGAATTGCGTATGTCAGGGCAGGTGTTCTCACAGTTGGAAGAGAAGGAAGCGCGTGAACCAGTAAAAGGTTCCTCACAGTTGAGGATGGTCCATTCCCCACCAATGAATTAGGAAATAGTCATGTTTTGGTAGTCAAGGACCATTTCAACGAATGGCCACAAGTATACACAATTCCTTACCAAGAGACTGAACCAGTGGCGGAGGCATTCATCAACAAGTGGGTAACGAGATTCGGTGTTCCAATGGAGTTACGTTCTGATCAAGAATGGAATATCGAGTCAACTTTAAGTCAAGGGATGTACCAGAAACTGAGTATCCGGAAAACGGATGGAATTAACTCCAAGAAGAGAAGGACGGCTAACGATGTCAGCACCAGCCTAGACGAGATGGGGGACATAAAATCTTTGTGTTTGGTATCGTATGTCTAATCGGGACGATCAAACTTAAGTGGAGGGTAGTGTGACGAACACGGATGATAGAACAAAATCGAATCAACAATAAACTCCCAGAAGCAACTAGTTAGCGAATTCGTAGTTATCAGAATGTTCTAGAGGCAATGTTTTGTTACAGATTTACTATATAAGGGCTGCCGGATAGTGCAACAAACACAGTTCTAGTTAGAGTGTTGTCGTGATAAGAACAATTGAGACATAAGCAAGAAGTTGTCAGCTCGAATAACGAGCCATAAGTGTTAAGTTGTTGGAATTAGAAATAAAGATAAGTGTGTAGCCATTATATTGGGACTTTTATTTAACAATATAGAGATCGAACTCAAGAGTGAGTTACAGGTAGACGATTTATCCGTTACAATATTTATGTGAGCATGTAAAAAATATGAAGAACCATATGCATAATGTTTAGAAATTTGTCTACAACAACACACACGAAATCTCCGTTGACACAGACGACCAATGATCGAAGATCATGTTTTTTTTGTTTTCAAGTCAATAAGATACACACATTGCGTTGTTGGAAGAAAATTCGAGCTGTGCCGAAAAAAATAAACGAGTGATCGCTGATTGTCACTGCTTTCTTTGCCGCTTTAACAGCTTTACCTAGAAACCATCGTAAATATTGTATATATGTTAATGTATGAGCATGCCTACATATTGACGCAGATGTTGCGATCCACGGAAAAATATTTTAGAATTGACAAATATTTTATTTTCTTGTTCAATTTATGATTTTTAGCTTTTGTCATCGTTGAGAAAAGACGTTTGTAGGCAAACGCTTACTCGGGAAGATGTGATGGTGTATGCGCTTGCGGTCATGAATGAAAATGTTTTCGTTAAGTGATTTACTATAAATTTCGGCTATTTGGGTGCTATTGCTAATTTACCCTACTAAAAAAACATCTCAAGAAACTAATTCGTAGCTTTATTATGAGTCCCCTGCGGAACTACCGTTAAGTATTACATCGCAGGGGTAGCTAAGCCTATTGGCTAGAACGTCTTAGAGATTTACAAACTGATTTGGCTCCTTGCCGCGCTATATCGCAGTCGCTCTGGTCTTCGCTGCTCTTCAAGAACCTTTGTGGCCCAACACTTTACATAATCACGCACCTTCTTTGGTCGTAACCTGTGTAGCACTTGATTTTCTGGCGTTAGTCTCTCAAAAATTTGGGTTTCCAATTTTTTTCTATCTGTCTCATATTTCGGACAGTGTAAAAAGACGTGTTCAGAATTTTCTCCCTCACGACCACAATATGAACCAATTTCTGCCTTAATTTGTAAAAGTATACCCTGAAACAACCATGCCCACTTAGGAGCTGCGTCAAATAAAAATCAACGTAGCCATGTTTTATATTACATCAATGTTTTTGATCAACCTGTGCGTCCATTATCCTTTAGATCGTTTTCCACCGTCCTTGCCATTCATTTACTCACTGCTATCTTTCTTCTTCGCACTCTTTAGCTGTTAAAGGCATGTCTACATTTTTGCTTTTATCGTATACTCTCTTATACTCCAAGGCCATTATGTCACGTGGCATTATACCAAATATCACTCCAGCGGCTTCGTGAGATACTGTGCGGAAAGCGCTGAGAACTCTAAGTGCACTTTACCGAAACAAGGATCTAACTGGTTCGGCGTATGATTTTTGCTTTAGAGCGTTAGCCTATACTTGACTTAAGGCTTAAGGCGACATTTGCTTTATAATTAATTCTCGCATCAATTACGTGATGCTATGTCCGTCAATATTTAGTGTGATGTGATGGAACACGGCTTCTGTTTTTCGCCTTGCCAGTTGCAACTTCGCTGTTGTTAGCCGTTCTTTAATTATCAGAGCATATGTATTAGGTGTAGTTCTTTTGCCACGATTGTCACCGCAATATCGTCAGCATACCTTATTATTTGCACTTCTTTCGGAATTGATAGTCAGATAGGCCCGCTACTTCTTCAAGGTGTTTTTCTTCCCGATTGTCTTTTCCATATATTCGGAATAATTCCATCCCACTTATTTATAGCAGTTTTTAATGCTCTGTTTGGAATACCAACTAAACCAGGCACTTTTGAATTACCAAACGTTCCGATGCTTGCAATACCTCAATACATCGGCTGGTGGAAAAACAGGAGGCTCTAGGCCGACAGAGAGTAGTTCTAACTTTGCTTACGTTTGTTGTGCTAAAAACATGGTTTCTACTACATCCTTTAGTAATACAGGACAGGTTGGCATTTGTTCTTTATCGCTCTAATTTTTGACATTACTGCCTTATACGCTCCACCCCATGGGTTTTCATCTGCTTTGTCACAGAGTTCTTTAAAGCATGTATATTTGCTTTTTCTAATTGCTGCTTTACGTTCTTTTCGTTTTGTTTTAAAAATTTCGCGTAGTTGCTCACATTCTACAGTATATCTACTTCTTTGATATTGCCGCCTAACTCTGTGACAGATGTTGTATTCGTAAAGGTGTACGTACGAGTACATATCTACATTTGTGCATGATACGTGCGTATATATGTATGTAAGTTTTAAATGATAAAAGGTAGGATTTATATAAATTAGTATTGTAATATGTTAAGTTTTTTAGTATATTATGTGTATAGTATCAATTGTGTATAACTTGAATACCAAAACATGACTATTTCCTAATTTATTGGTGTGAACTGGCGCATCCGAATTGTATTTTTTCATCTGATAGCTACAATGCACTCAACATATCTTGCAATTCTCTCCATAGCTGATTGACGACAACCAGTCCAATAAAACCTTTGCTTCAATTTCTATAAGGTTTTCGTGATTCTCAACTGCCTTTCGCTTGGGCCTTTCTACTGCACGTTAAGAACTTTAGGAATTTTAACCTTTGGAACAACTATAAGTACTCGGGAGGTTTGCCCATTTTCGCTTTTCCATACTCGATGCAAGCAGCCACACACCAACTTTAAACTGCTCCGCTCTGTCCAATATGCTTTTGCGACTAAGCTTCCTGAATTTATTTCTTCACTCGTTGTACATTGGTTTAACTCCACTTCATGCATTACACCTTCCAATTCTGGACTTTCTTGCAAAGAGTCATCTGTTTCAGGACACCTGAGCTGGTATACACGCTTCGTGCTCTCCAAACTGTGAGGAATCTTGTACTGGTATACACATTTCCTACTTTTCCAACTGTAAGGACACTTGTGCTGGTATACAAGCTTCTTGCTCTTCTGACCGTGATATCCCTTGTACTGGTTCACATACTTCCCAATATTCTAATTGTGAGGACACCTGAGTTGACATACGCACGTCCAATTCTTTTAACTGTGAGGACCTTTGTGCTGGTATACAAACTTCTTCCTCTTCTGACTGTGAGGACCCTTTTACTGATACACACGCTTCCTCCTCTTCTAATTGTGAGGACACCTGCGTTGACATACGCATGTCCAACTCTTTTAACTGTGAGGTCCTTTGTGTTGGTATACAAGCTTTTTGCTCTTCTGACAGTGAGGACCCTTTACCTGGTGCACAAGTTTCTTGCTCTTCTGACTGTGAGGACCCTTTTACTGGTTCACATGCTTCCTCCCCCCCAACTGTGAGGACACCTGCGCTGGTATACAAGCTTATTGCTCTTCATACTGTGAGGACCCTGGTTCACAACTCTTTTGACTGCGAGGACAGTTGTGCTTATATATGTGCATCCTGTGCTGCGAACTGCTCTTCCAATCGCGTTTCTAACTGTGATATTTGTAGGGTCATTCGTGCATCCTGCTCTTTAAACTGTGTCGACAGTGTTGACATCTGCGATATTGCAGCAAAAATCATGTTCATGTTCACAATCTTTGACGGGCACTGAATATCTTCTTCTAATTCCAATTGAAGCACATATTCGTCAACATCAATGTTTTTTGCTTCCATAGCCTCTCATAACCGTGATTATATTTCGGACTTTACTCCGCTTGTTGCTAAACCACATTTTTCCAGTTCCTTTTTCAGTTGTGGAATCTTCAAATTCTTAAATTTTGCCGTTTTAAAACAATTCTTTCTTTGGGAATTTATTTGACAATCCCACTTCTGACACAAATTGTAACGGATTCCTCGATAAATCGTTTAACTTGTAACTCATTCTCGAGTTAGATCACTGGATTGTTAAATAAAAGTCCCATTTAATAGCTATACACATATCTTTATTTATAATTCCAACAACTTACCACGTACTGCTCGTTATTCGAGCTTACCACTTCTTTCTTATGTCTCAATTGCTCTTAACACGACAATACTCTAACTAAAACTGTGTTTGCTGCACAATCTGGCAGCCCTTATATAGTACATCTTTAATTAAACTTCGCCTCTAGAGCACTTTGGTAACTACGAATTCGCTGTCTAGTTGCTTCTGGCAATTTATCGTCGGTTCGATTTGGTTCTATCATCCATGTTCGCAACAGTATAAAAATATAAGCCAAAAGGCTAAGATGTGGCTGTAATATCAATGCAAACTTCTTAGCAAAATTTTCATTGAATGATCAGGTCTTTTCACGCGTCACTATTAAAATTTCTCCATCGGAGCTAACTGTAGTGAAACACGCTCATCGCATTTTGTAAGGTTTTGACAATTCACACGCTTGTCCATAGTTGGACCTTCTCTATAATTTACGTTCTCTGCGCATACTTTCTTGGATGAATTTAACTTGTGAACTTTGTTGTTGCTCTTACATGTAATTTTTTTTGACAAGAGACCAGAAGCGAGCAGACAAATGGCGAATCGAAGACAGCTAAGAGCATACATTCAACTCTTCTGTCAAAGCAAATGTCTGACGCAAAGCGAAGCAAAAGTTCTATATAAAATATTCTTAAAATAACTCAAAATCACAGTCGAATTGAATTATTTATAAATTGGTAAACTATTTTTAATAGTTGGATTTTAGTTTTGAAAATTATAACTAAAAAACTAAATGTGTGAAAAATCGTGTATACAAATAGAACAATGGCAACATTGGTGAAATGAAAACAGAAGAGAAAAACTGATTTCTGTGTTGCAACTACGGGCACAACTTCTGACAAATTTGGTTTAATACGGGCGATAAGTACGGAAGGAAGGAATGTCGGTGACTGTTTGTGCTTGAATTCAGCTGTCATTAACCCGACTTCATGCGTGCACCAATCTCAAAGTAGTATACACACTAACGATGCAACATGACCGTTTGTGCCATAACAATTAGGCTGTGTGCCAAACGGTAACATTTTTCGATGTGTTGAAATGGAGTGAAAAAAATTTCCTATAGTGTAAATAAATTTTAGATTTTGATGTTTCAAATGAAAAGTAAAATTTTTACAGTTGAACGTGCCAGGCTACTACGACGCTACATGCATTCGGTACACATATATCTTCATATATACAAGCATCTCCTAATCAACTACAAAAATATATTTATTTTTTAATATTTAATTCTTATATCTTAATTTTAGTTTGAAATATTTCGACTAAACAATATAAATTCAAAAGGAGTCGTAAGCTTATTTAGAATAATTACGAATTTATAAAAATTTTATAACATACTTGTTATGTATGCAGCGATTATATTAAATTCGTTTATTCCTGAATGCATATCTGTATTCATAATTGTAAGTTGTCAAAATTTTTCCTAGCGCGAGAGCTGGGTAAAATTCTAACATTCGGATTCTTCCCGAAAATAATCACAAACACCTTGGATTAAAATGCCGTAGTTGGATTGGTTAAAACAACTGGTATAATTTGTTCGATTCTGCCATGATTCAAATATAAAAGGTTGTGTCGATAGGCCAAAAACCATAATTAAGAATTAAAAAAAGAATTTCTCAAAATTAATTGGATCCATAATATCAAAATCAGCGTTTAGCTTCGCATTGTTTTGATTTTTTGATTCAAAAATAAGTTTTTCAACCAATGTAAGTGCGTTGTTTAAGTGATAACTGAATACAAAATCATCAAATTGTAAACAGAAAATTCATAAAAAAAATACAGTTTTTTGACCTTATGGATGTGCTGGTACTAAAATGCTCTGTTTTCATTTCCCAAATAAATTTGGTGCGAAACACGTACAAAGTTCCTGATGCATGATGCCAGCATACGACTATCGAATATTTTAATATTCATATGCACTTATTTTCTTATCACATTTATTTTATTGGTACATGGACTTTGAGCAAAAATTATTGAAGTTTTAAACAATATAAATATCCATTTTTTTCCCCAAAAAATATATACCATATGTCAAAAGATTGATTTTTGACCTTTCCATTTCCTGCGTACATCCTCATAAGATTTTGGAACTGTGTATCTAAAAAGCACAGGCATGTGCTTCTATAACTTGATAATACCTGCCCAACGCTATTTCGCAAAAGATTTTGTGAATAGTCGGCAATAGTTAAGGCCGTGCAGTCCAACAATCGGTTAAGTCGCTGACTACCTACCAAGCCACCTATCGGTTAAGTCACCGATAAACTACCCTATAGCGCTACCAGAGATGACTTTTTAAGCTTCTTTAAATTTTTGCAATTGACAATTCTAGCCAAAACTCTTGTGTACGTATAATCTGACGGTGTGGATGTGTTGGTTTAGACTCCAAATCTATTCAATGTTTAAACCATACTGAAACGCCTACTGAAAAATATCATGAGCAAATCGAATATCCGTAGCTTCATAGTCCAAAAGTACTTATGAAAATATTCATATATTATACAAATATATACTAATGGTTAATATTTGAAGAAAAAATAGGTTGAAAGTTCCTTATAAAATGCCACATTTAATTTTTTATACGCTAAGAAATGCAAATGCATAACATTAAAAGAGTTATCCGTTTATATATTTCCAAATATAGTCTGAGTGTATTGCCCATAAATGTTAAGTGGCATGAAATGCAACCCTAACGAGTTAGTCAGCCATCGTACAAACATAAAACTTAACGAAATCCGCCCGTATAGGTGTTCGTTTCTACGTGTTTTCTGACGTATTGGAAATTAAGGTTTTTGTTAAAGTGATAAATTGTGTACAAAGAATTCCAAACATATTATCTTTATATTTAGTATATGTGGATTTGTGAGTGATAGTGTTTTAAGTAGGTATTAGGAAAAATTTAAGTGTTGATGCAGGTGAGCAATGAACAAGCTGTAGTGATGACAAAGAGAGACTTGATTGGAATGCAGTGGATGAATAGAAGCAACTGAACAAAGTAGACAGCTACAAGCCAGTAATAATTCGTAGCTACACACTTTAAACATTGAAATATGTTCAATTTGTTGTGTGCGTTTGCAATTTGATAAAATATAACATTTACGTTAATGTTGGAGATAAGGTGTTGAGTTTTCAGAACGTGTGTTGGTATTTGTTCATAGTATTGTGAGAATAATTAAATAAAAAGGGTGACTCAGATGCAACACTGTTCGGCTGGTGATATTTGATTTGAAGAAAGAAGCCGGTCGTAGTCGTTTGAGAGTAGAGTAATTGAGAAGTCGTTTAACGAAAGTGGAACAAAGTGAGGAAGTATGTGCTGAATTAAGGAGTGGAGTTAAATATTTTAAAAATCTCCAAGAAAGGATTAAAGTGTCGTGGAATTTAAATGTATCGGAATTCTTTTTTCATCAACATCTTAAGAAACTAAACACACACATTTAATATACGAGTAGCGGTTAAACCTTCATTCGTATATACAAATGTGCGGTACATAATAAAAAAAAAAAACGAATGTAAATGTAATAAAGAATACGAATAAATTGTAAAGTGGAAACCTTGTGTGCAACCAACGGTATTACACAAACATCAGTATATATGTACTACATTTGCATCATATGCCCAGTTACAGTCGTGATGAAAAATTTCTCCATTGAGTACTTTTTAAACGTACTTTTAGTTACTTAGAAATCATAAAATGCCAGCTGACAAAACTTTATTAAATTTATAAAAAAAAAAAAATATTGAAAAAATACACTTTCCGCTCACGGATTTGTAATCTACGCGTAAAAATAAGACGATTTAAAAAACAAAATTTCATATTGGACTCCTTAGTTGGGGAACCTAAACTATACATTTACCGCAATTTTTCCTTTCAGTTGCTATGAATTAATGACAAATTGTCCAACTTTTTGTAATTAGGGAAGATGAATGAGTCGAATAAGAATGGGTTGTACAATGGATTTAAATTATCTAAATCAATTTTGGCTAAATTCTTTCGCTAAAATAAACAATTCTCGGAACAATTTATATAAAAATTAAAAGTAATAAAACAAACACTTCATATTTATGTATATATTTATATATGTATAATATATTACATATGGGCATGTTTGCAAATTCGGATAATAACTTCTTCATATTAGTGTAGTGCGTTATTGTGTTATAAAAAATTGTTTTGTTTCAGGTTAATCTGTTTATAACCTTATAAGTGCTTACACCATATTGTCTAAAAGTGCCGAAATAACATTTCTTAAAAGTAAAATATCAATTAATATAGTAAAATGGCCGAAGAAGTCGATCGTAACGATCCCGAATTGAAATATCTTTCCGTCGAACGGAACCAATTTAATGATCCAGCAACTCAAGCTGAATGGACACAGAAGCGCCTTGTTTGGGTCCCACATGAGAACCAGGTATGTATGATTGACCTAAGTATAAACTTAATTCAAGTAATACGAAGCCGTAAGTAAAATTTTTAAATCGCTACTAAAACATTTTGGTTGTCGCATCATATTTATGATATTTCACACGAAAAGTATTCTGATGAAATCTCTAAACTCTTCAACTTAGTCTAGTTTAAATTACTAGGTCTTTCCATATGTTGGACAACTTTAATTTCCATTAATTTGGTGACAGTCGAATTTCAATACATTTGACTTAAAACATACATACAAGTATTACTGTATGAACTTTGATATTTTTACCAACTATAAATTTGCCTTGTAAAATTAACAATTAGTCCTTGGCTAGATAGTATACTTGTACATAACTTGTGTAAGATGGGCAACAGAATTCAAAATAACTTTGGATTTCAAATGGAATGAAGCTGAAATACCTAATATATATTTATTTTCTAATCGAAAATGCTTCATATTTTAAATATAATTTTATAACTGAATTAAAAACAAACATATAAACTTTAAAGCAAAGCTAGATCAAATTTGTGTCGTATTTACAGTTCATAGTAGTAGTTCGACCAAAAAAATATTATTGTTAAAGGCGTTGGTTATGTTTAAGTAGTTGCGGTAGCTTATTTATGTAGCAACATAAATATGTATATACCTATGTAGGTATATTTTAGACCGTTCTATACGCAAATGTGTAAATTGCTTTGGCCGATTGCTTTTTGTCGAATGCAAATGCTTTGCGAATAACCGATTGGCATAAAAATTGTAGTTATGTATTGTAAGCCCGCGGTGATATATTTCTACAAACATTCTATATATGTACGCGTATGATGATCAGTGTTGCCTCTTGAGAAAATCTTTGAGTACCAAAATGCCTATCAAATTTTTTGCAAAACTCCCAAACTTATCAAAACATTGGGTTTTATTTCACTTCACTTTTGGAAAAATATGTATTTACACACAAATACACACCCTTCCTTTTCTTCAAGCTAATCGAATATTTTTAATCACACCCTAAGAAATTTCGCTTTGAAGGTCAGGCGAGCATTCATCTCTACAAAAGATTGTTAAGTTGTCAAGAACTATCTGAGTGGTCGGCCGTTGTTCTGTTTCGAGGGGAAAATTCTAAGTTAAGAAGGATCATGCAGGGGGTTCGGACACAATGCACTCCTCTCCAAGCAGTTTCTGCTGGGATGATTTCCCAGAATCCCAATGAGTCCCACTCATTTAACATCCCCCTCCCTAGTGTCCGACTCCGACGAAACCGCTCCTTTCCCGGCCCTACCGATAGGTGACCTCAATGACCTACTTGAACCTTACCACCTAAGCAGGGACAACAACAACAACATGGCCAAGTTGTTAATTAATATGTCGTAAAAGTTTTCATTTATCTGACGTCGATATTATTTTGTTGGCTTACTGCGGAAGTTTTAGGCACTTTATTGTTATACATAAAACAGTGGAAAGTATAATATTAACAATTATTTAAAATAGTTACTTGCCCATAAGCCCCTTTTTCTCTAATTTGATCCATGAAATTAAAGAAATGCGGGAATATATCACATTATTGACACTCAATCTTTATTTCAGTTCAAATTATAGTTAGATCTCTCATTTTCAAACATTGATCAGGTTCCCCTTCATAAATTTTTTTCGATAGTATTAATAGCAAGCAAGAAAATCAGAAATTTTAAGCTGATAAAAATATTGCGTACCAACCAAACTAACAAAGGTACATGTATTTTTATAAGTGTGATTTTGATTTTTCATTATTTAGGATGGTTGTACGAATATTCATACATACTAGTATTTTGAAAGGTTCAATGACTTGATTAAGCCTGCATGAAAGGAGAGGTTTGTTGGTCTCGCTAACGTGTGGTTGCCTGTAATTAAGAAAATTGTAATACGAACAATAATTATATTATAAAACGCTGTCTTTAATCACACCACTATGCATAAACAATTGTTTTACTCTTAACCGATTTGGATAAATTTCGTGGGTGTGTGGTAAATAAAAACTGGTTTTTTCTTAATGGTTTTTAAATATTGTTGGCTACAAATCATAACATTGTTCTATTGTTGGCCGTGTATGCTAAAAAAGAGAGGGAAACATAAACTTTTAAAATTCTACAAGTTTGAAGGCCATACCGGCGATCTTAAAATTTCATACAAGAGAGAAATGTTTTCATTTCGTTTTAGGGTAAATAATCATTTATTCCCTTTTACGCAAATCTAAAGTTTCAAATCAAATGTACTTGTATATTACTTAGAATGTGCGTCCATTAAAATCATCTTTGAATGTTCTTAACTATTGAAATATGGTTGAAAATTCAGCGTATAATCTTTAAATTTTTTAGATCTTAAACCTTTAAATGTAAGTAAAATCCCAGCATAAAGTTATGTTCTCCAACAAGATACGTCAATATCTACAAATCTTTTAGTTTTAGATGGCTGCCGTTTTTAAACTAATATGCTGTAGGAAAAAGTGAGAAACATTCATTTAATTAGGATATTTATAAGTTGGTTGTTTCTACGCCGAAAAATTTTGACAACAACAATAAAATATTTGTTTAAATACCGAATTTTTTATTTTGTGTAATTAATAAATGCGGTTTTATTGTAAAGAGTGAAAAGTGGAAGATACGAAATACAGAAGTATAAAGTGAAAATGTCTAAATTGCTGTTTTTATTTGGATGATCAATTTTCCTTTTCTCTTTAATGTTTTTATTTAAAATCTACAGAAAGTGTTAGTATTTGTAAAAACTGCATCAATTAAGAGGGAGCACACAAATAAATATAATTTTTTATTTTGTGTACAACTACTTATATATACAATATACAATTTTTCTGATGTTGTTTCTAGATACAGCTGCGGTCGAATTCTTAGTAGTGTACAAATGTAGAAGAGGAACTGTTAAAAAATATGGGATATCACTTTTATAAAAAAAAATAATTTTACACCATAAAAGCCCTAACAGTATATAAAACAAATCACAAAAAAATACTCATTGTTTAACTAATTTCAATGAATTAATTATAAATATATTAAACAATTTACGAGAAATTTCAATGGTCAAAAACTTAGTAGTAAAATTTCGACCAAAAGTTAGTGAAATGTATTGGAAATAGACTCCCGTTCGTTCTTCACAGCCTCACATAGTTGCGTTGTCTGTTTACATACATCGGTTTAGATAGTCCTTGACATCAGACCAAAAATTCTCGATGGGTTTGATATCAGCGGACTGTGGTGACGGTTCCATTACGTTGACATTTCTTTCTTCAAACCACATTTTAGCTATTTTATGTGTTATAATGTGTTTGGGGCCATTGTCTTCCTGGAACGCCCGCAGGAGCTGTATTTCTTCATTGGCATACGGCAGAATGGCGTTAAGAAGTATTTCGACATAGGAGTCACTATACATGTTATCCTTGATCCAATAAATTGGTAATACATCTTACCAAAAAAAGCACGCAGAAGCCTTGATAATCATACCTCCATGGCTTACCGTTTTGGTTGCGTATTTCGGCTGATATTCGGTATTGGGTGGACGTCTAACATATTGACGCGAACGCTTTCTACCATACATAACAATTTTCGATTCGTCCGACGATAAAATGTTGCGAAATTTTATCGAAGACCAATTCAAATGTTCTTTGGCGAATCGAATTATTTTTCCCCCATTTTTACATGTCAAATTTGAGCACGATCTGTCACATAGTTTTTTTTTTAAGGCACTATAAACAAGTCAACCTCGAGTATGTTTTTCGAATTTTACTATGGAAATTAACGTTGAGCAAAAAGTGTTTGTTTGAAATTTTGTTATTCCAATGGAATAAGTGCGACGGACGCAATGAAAATGTTGCAGAAGGCATATGGGGAGTCTTGCCTATCACGTGCACGTATTTTTGATTGGTATAAGTCGTTCAAGGACGGCCGTACATCGCTGGAGAACTTGCCCCATGATCGTCGTTCAGCAACGTCAATAAACGAAGAAAACGTCGAAAAAGTAAAGAAAATTGTGTTGGAAAATCGTCGTGTGACTGAAAGAGAGATAGCTAGTGAGCTCAACATATCAAATGGATCCGCTCATAGCATTATTCACGATGTTTTGGGCATGAGACGTGTGTCTGCTCGACTTGTTCCAAAATCAAGCTCATACGTCTCGTCTTGTACGCGATTATTTGACCAACGTAAATATTGTTCCTCAAGCACCGTATTCACCCGACATGGCACCGTGTGACTTTTTTCTTTTTCCTAAACTCAAATTGCCGCTTCGTGGAAAGCATTTTCAGTCGATTGAAGTCATAAAAGAGAATTCGAAGAAGGAACTGAAAGCCATATCTAAAGCCGCCTATCAGAAGTGTTAGGAAGATTGGAAAAAAAGGTGCCATATGTGTATCGCCTCTAATGGTGACTATTTTGAAGGGGATAAAATAAATATTGAAGAATAATTAACCGTTTTTGTTGTTTGAGCCAGTCTCGTTTATATTTGAGCAGAAGGTATATCTTTTTAAACTATATACGTTTATATAAACTCATATTTATAATTGTATAGAAAGTACTGAGAAAATGAATGTTTAATTTTTTTACAGGGATTCGTAGCTGCGAGCATTAAACGCGAACATGGTGACGAAGTTGAAGTGGAGCTCGCTGAAACTGGAAAACGTATGATGGTTTTGCGTGATGATATACAAAAGATGAATCCGCCGAAATTCGACAAAGTCGAAGATATGGCGGAGCTGACATGTCTTAACGAAGCTTCTGTTTTACACAACATCAAGGACAGATATTATTCTGGTTTAATTTATGTAAGTATGATTGTGTATTATTGGTTAAATTATCTTTCGAAAGAATTTACGGGAGTAACAGACATTAATATACATAATTAGGTTTCCCTAACATATTTTAGTATAACAAGTTTATCAAAGTCAAAATACATACATCTACATACATGACAGTAAGGAATAGCAAATTTGAAGAGAGATGGTAGTATAGAATTTTCTTTGTACAGAAATGTGCTTTTGGTTCTTGTTTGTCGGTTTCTCTTAATAAATAATGAGAGAAATGAAATGGTGAATACCTTCTGCCTGCTAATTTGGATAAAAAAAATTAATTTGGTTTGGTAATAATAATACTATTGTACATATTATTCAAAGTATTGCTCATTTGAAGTTATAACAAGTTCCCATATTTCTAGCAATTTGTGGACTCCATCCCCCAAGAACTGTGTCGGCTTGGCGGCTAAGAATGAATCAAGCCAATGTTTGATACCTTGTTCTGATGTGAACCGTTTTCCCGTGAGGGCATTCTACAACGGCCGGAGCAAATAGTGTTGTTGTAGCGGTTATGTAATCGCAGCTTGGGTGGTAGGGCTTAGATTGATTGTCATCTAACGGTAGGCTCAGGAAACTTGCTGTTTAGACAAAGTCGGACCATAGGGAGAAAGTTATTAGATGAGTGGGGTTTGTTGGGCATGAAAAGAGGTGGTTGGTGTCATGTGGCGACTCATTGTATGCTGGACATGTATTTGGTATGTCGGGGTCGAGTAGGAGTTTGACCTGATACAGTATCCAGAACGAAGTTGCGCAAAGGACACTCTAGATTCTCGTGGCAACTCGAGCTTTTCATCTGCAATGGGTGGTGGTTTGACTCCAAGTACGCCATTCAGTGAAAGGGAGTCGGTGAAGGTGTTAATGACTCCACTCTGGTCGGCGTACTGTTGTGTGCCGATGTATTCAAGGAAGGACCTCTTGATGTTCCTAGGAGGCGGTTCCGCTTCAAACAGGTGACTGCAGGGATGGTTTCTGCGAAAACATCCCAGCAGAAACTGCTGGAGAGCATACTAGCCTCGTTGTGTAAGTGTTCGAGTGGAGAAGAGTGGATCTGAAGCTTCTGCGTCTGCGTTTCACTGCATCCAGGACACCATATGGATGCGGCGTAGTTTATGATTCCCTTGTATGTTGCCAACAACGTTTCTTTATCTTTTCCCCATAAGCTGTCGGCTAGCGACTTGAGCATTTTGCTGCGGCTTTGTACTTTGGCAGTTATCGCGGTCGTATGAGGAGTGAAGGAACACAGACTGTCAAATGTTACACCTAAAATCTTAACTTTGTTGACAGTCGGAATTTTAATGACATCGACGGTAATGTTAAGATTCAGTCTGTGCTCCTTCGTACAGTTCGTGAATATAGTCGCTGTGGATTTAGTGGGGAGAGTGTTAAGCTCCTTGCAGAGAAGAAGAAAGGAGAGATACCGGAACAAATAGTAGTCAGAAGGGACAAGGGCTATAAGGCTGGAGAGACAAAACTTCCCGTCGCTGTTTTAACCAGTTTTGCAACAAGAGGCCGAGCGTTGTTTTGATAAAAAATTAATCGCTCGCTTCATATTGAAAAGCTGTTGTCGGTACCGCTCCCCATTAATGGTTTCACCCAGTTTTAGAAGATAATAAAGTAACACGCCCTTCTGATCCCACCAAATACACAGCATTACCTTGGCGTCATAGATAGTTGGCCAGGTTTCACATATGATTTTTTGCGTTTACTTTTGTCGTAATAGATCCGTCCCGACACTAGTCACAATCCAAAGCAAAAACGTCATCTTTTTATAGGGTTCAAGAAGCATTTTTGACATTTAAAATCGTTTTTCAACGTTTCTTGTCTTTAATTCTTATGCCACACAATTCCCTTGCTAAAGATTCTGCCACCTCTTTTTGAGTTTGGCAACATTCTTCTTCGAGTTATTCTTCCAGTTCCTCATCTTTAAATGAAGTTTTTCGTCTTCCTAGCCAAAATTAAAACTTTCAAATCGTGCAAACTTTTGGGACGTTTGCTCAGCTAAATCATGTCCACTATAAACTTCCACCAAATATACTCCGCATCGCTGAACACTGTAATGATTTTTGACTGTATTTAGGAATTATAATTTAAGAGTTGTAAAGCAGAAAGTCTGGGAACCATTTGCTATATCTAAATGACGTCAGTTTTTCTCTAAAAATAAAGAATAATTGAAATAATTTGTGTGTATTAAATATTTCACACAATTTTTGTGTGACATTCATTATAATTGGCACAAAAACCAATTTACAGTGAGGGCGAGTATCTCCATTTGTACATCATACACACAGATAAATCGTTACTTAAAATGCAATTTGATTAGGCTGTATTCTTTAACACCATCAACTTTAAAATTATTGGCGCAAAATCTTGTGTTTTGACTACCTTCTGCGTCAATAAACAACCCAATGCTTTTTTAAACTTTAATTTTTATGAAATCTTAAGAAATGTAAGGGAAAAAAGTATTTGTGATATACTGATACAAAAACAGTGTCATTAATATCCTATATTATATTTGTTTCCTCCGCCTTAATTTTGGCAAAGTTATGCGAAATTTTGATATTTAAATTATTTTATAACACTCATATCACTCACACGAATTTCGTCCATATCTTTGCTAACAACAATCCACTGTGTCCTCGTTGATAAATGAATGAATTAAAAAAATGTGTATAAATTGATTTTCATGTTTCTTTTTTATAAACAATTCGCGTCCGCCACGAATTTACAAATTTTATAACGAATCTGACTTATTTAAATATGTCGTTTTTTCAAATGTCATGAGGCAGTTAGAGTTGCTATGTGTATAAAAATTTTGTGAAAAATTAAAACTTGATTATAAATTGAAATATTTTTGAAGACTAAAATAATATTTTTAAATGCAAAACTACATATTTCATAACATTTCTGATACAAATTATTATTAATTGCTTACAAGTAAATTATCAGTTCATAGCTTACATATATAAAAGAACATGTGGTAAATACATTAAAAATACTATGACAACCAACTTCGTCATCAAACATATGATTTCAAACTTGTCGTAACCTTGTGTAACCTTGTATTCTATGAACGTTGAGATATTACCAACTTATAAACAAAATTCAAATTTTTTTTCAGTATGAGTCCTGTAAACTTATGAAAAGTGATAATACATTTTATTTGCATTTTAGGTAACGATATATACTTTATGTTAAAGCAAGAATTGAATTTATTTGAGATTCCAAAGTAAATAAATATTTATATAGCGTTTTAATATAGTATATACATATATATTTTTATAGTAGGAATTCGAAATCATTATTTTTCTTATGCCTGTTGGGATGACTGAGAATGGAAACCCACATCTACGTGGGTCAGCAACAATCAAAACCGGCGCGTCATTATTGACCAATAAATCTTTGACGGTGCTAGATCCAGTTTAAACTGAAAAAGCTATTTTCGTTTAGGTAGACACGTATTTACTTTTTATATAATAACTTTTTCGCAATCTATTTAAGAAATGTACATTTTGTCGAGGTTTAGTAGCTCAGTCAATTAATTAGGCAACACTACGTATACGTATTACTAGCTTAAGTACACGTATTTAGCAAGTTTCAGTTTGGAACTCATATATATTTAGTATTGAATAATTCGATAAATGTATCTAGGCGTTAAGCTTATAATAAAAGACGAATGGTTAATGTCTCGTGCGAAATGTGCAGTTGCTATGATTCAACATCGTCGTGTTCGCTTGTTATTAATTGCTCGCATCTGTTTTGGTTTAAGAATTCGATTAATAAGCTTGGTTAACATTATGGCGCTATACTCTTTCTGTTTTAGTATATTCAGTTTTCATATTTCTGACTTAGTAGAGAAATAAATTTGTCGATAAACATTCAAACGGGTAGTATTCCCTTTTTTTTGATTTAGGAGATATTGGGTGTTGTGTTATTTTGAGCTACTATTTTAAAATTATGTTGCAATTATTTTGGCCTATTTTCATAGTATTATATACGTGTATATTTTTATAAGACAAATTGTTTTGCTACATGGTTGAAAACTTTGCATTTCGACATGGTTGTGTTTGGTACCAAAATCGGTGAATTAGCAAATGAAATCAGATCGAGGTGCCGTGTTTAGTTGTCAAGTAAGCGAGTTGCTGATTTGTTGAGTCGTTAAATTCGTCGCCATCTCCGGCTTTAATTGCTGAGCTTTGGCCGACCACCTTTCGCCTTCAATGTGTTTTCTTGATTCTCAGTGCATTTTAAATCAATGCACGTACACTGTCCCATCCATTCAATTTAAAATTGCTGTCGCGTTACATTTCATTTGAAAATGCAAGAAATGTGCATAACTGGTACATAACACACCATATAGTATATACATAGAATTAAACATTGTCGACTTTTAACATATATTGAATTATTAATTTTCAACAAATCATTTACCACCATATTATTTTAAGTCGTTTTGAAACCTTTCAGTTAAGGGATGCCCATGGCATTATTATGATGTATTATAATGCACAATTATTATAAATGTAATTCAGTAGTTTATTTGATCCAATTGTAGATTCGTATTTATGTTAAAGAGATATAATAATGAAAATCAAAAATAAATTGAATTTACCTTAAATTTTTAATATATACTTTAGGTATGTATGGTTTTAGTAGAAGCAATTAATGTAGGCCAATATTGAGGTAAACTGCAAAATTACTTACACTCTACAAAAGCTAAAAAGGCACTACATACATACATAGATACACATGGTGTACAACAAAAAAGGAAATAAATTTATTACACTTTTATATATTATAATTATACAATATTTATACATAATGTTTGTTCACAATAAATTTATATAAGTATTATGTTGTCATACTGTTTACAAAGCCAGCCACTTAGGAAAGCACATAACATAGAAATAATATGGTTAATGGCGCTGATAGGGGAAATTCAGTCAATTTGTCGATTCAATATAAAATTTTTCAAACCATATTTGCTAAAAATTTTATAAACTCAAATGTGAATAATTCACATTAAGAGCCGTCACTCTCTCTTTTATTTATTTGTCTTTAGGAATTAAGGGAGATGAGTAGTTACATAACAATGCTGGTAGTACCCGGCTGATTTGATTATCTTGGAAATACTTTGAAATCCGTAATGGAAGTTTATTTATTCGTTTTACAGAACAAGCTGAGTCGATTTAGCGTCTGTTCGTCGGCCTGTCTGTATATACGCGAACCTAGTCCCTTAGATTTTATATATCGATCTGAAATTTCGCCCAAATTCTTTTCCCCCCAAGAAGCTGCTCTTTTGTCGAAACCACCAATATCGGACCACTATAGCATATATTTCAAACAAACTAATCGATCAAAATCATGTCCTTGTATGGAAAACTTTTTTATTTGACGAGATACTTTCTCGAAATTTGCCATACATTTTTCTCCAAGACATCGGTACAATCTCTCGAGAAATTTTTGAGATCGGACCACTATAGCATATTACTGCAATCCGAACTGCATTTTTATACACAGGGTATATTAAGTTTGAAAGTAAGTAAGAAATGTCGAAGTTCAGCGTGACTCGATTGTATACTAAAAATGCATATAAGTTAGAACTTTGTTGCAAAACCTTTATTTGCGAGTACGGCAACTCACATTTTCGGCATAGATTCCACTAGAATACCACGCCGGTATTGAACACCACGCCTCTTGGACGTTTTCCCACAGTTCCACCTTATTTCGTGGTTAAATGGGTTGTAGCTTTTCCTTTACAATCTTTCACATGTATTCTATAGGTTTTAAATCCGGATATTGCGCCGGCCAAGTTATAACTTCAACATAAAAAAGCATTACATCGTCTAAAATTCTTAGTAAGTGATCACGTTCCACGATTTCCCCGAATGCAAACCAGCGCTCCGACTCCGTACCACGAAATATACCCCCATATCACGATATTACAACCACCATGTTCGAAAGATTTTGTCATACATCGGGGAATCATTTCAGCATTCTTCGGACGTCGAACCCAAACTTTTCCATCGCTACCTACCATATTTATTTTAGATTCATCGGACCAAAGGACCAACATCTTACGCCACTTTTTTACATTTTTTTCACAGGTACAATTGATAAGCGCTGAAGCAAAAACAATCCGATTTTTCCGCTGTCTTTTTGTCCACATTAGGACTTTCCGGGACATCTTTCTAAACAGATTATTTTCTACAAGGCGCCGCGGAACATTTCTCGAAGAAATTTCTGCACCCAATTCTCTTTTGATAGCTACAGAGGTCTTGAAAGGATCGCGTTTTGAAAAAACCTCTATGTACCATAATTGTCATTCTGAGACGTCGTTTTTGTTTAACAAAATGTCAAGTTTGAACAAATATTCTAAAGATTATATACTTACAATATAATTGTTTACTAAATCACTCCTATATTTTTATTTCTTGATTAAATTTTTTTGTCACGACAAAAAAGGCACACTTTTGTTTAATTTAAACTCAAAAATAACAGTAAAATGTAACAGAGTGTTTTAAAAGATAAGTATTGTCTGTATAGTAACTGTACGTGCATACATATATGTACCTATGTTTGCGAGCAAAAGTTTAAAACAGTAAACAGTTAAATAAAATATGTACTGAAAACACTGTATTTAATATAACAAATTGTGATAAGGTTTCCCTTAAAGAACTTACTATAACATTTATATAAGTACATATGTATGTATGTATATAATTATTCGTTTTTTACTTAACTTAAGTCATATGTATGTATATAAGATATTCATGCTTCTTTCTTCTGTACTGGTGCTTGATAATCAGGGAATGTTCTTATTAATTAAGTTTTTTATTCAACCACAATATATGAGTTCGTTTCCTTTATTATTATCTCGAATATTATTAATTTTTATTATATTTTTTCTTTTACAGACTTACTCGGGCCTATTCTGTGTTGTTGTAAACCCTTACAAAAAATTGCCAATCTATACCGAGAAGATAATGGAACGGTATAAGGGTATAAAAAGGCATGAAGTGCCTCCCCATGTTTTTGCAATAACCGACACCGCATATAGATCTATGCTACAAGGTAAATTTCATTCAATTCCCAAAACCTGATCATATAAAATATCAATAGATATTAGGGAACAATGTTATGCAAGCAAACATGTATATCACAAACCTAAATTGGCAATAGTAATAGTGTACACTATTGCGATATTGATGTATTAAGTTTGTAGCGAATTTTAATAGCCTCTTTTCAATTTAAGTCAACACTCTGAATACGGTGTTATTACTGAGTTTTGCCATAAATTCTGTTACAAAGTTTATAATGCATACAGCGAGGACAAATTCGCCAAAAAAGCATATGTCGCGCAGATCAATGTCTAGACTTATTTGAGACAATCTCCACATGAAAGCCTACCGTCGGTCAACTGGTCATCTTCAATCTTTGGTTCGAGTAGCGTCGTCAATACCAATAGAAACTGTGCGTGCGCTATTGATCAATGGCCGAATCATTTAAGGGCTTGAAAGCAAAAGATGTCAATTTCGAATAAAATTTTATAAATCGCTCTTTTAGTATACGTATTGTTATATAAAATGAACTTAATTAAAAAATATATTATAATTTCATTTTTATAACGACCTGTATTTCTAACAGAACTTATGGCAGGGCTAAGGGAGCCTGCAGATGCTTTTATATTCGTACAATTATTCCTTTTTTATTTTATAAGTTTTTTTTGTGTTTATGCATGTGGAAAGAGAAGAAATTGATCCCTCAGATTAAGAATATTTTACTTGCAGCTCTGTGGTAAATATTAAAAAAAAATCGCAATTCGTCAGCTTTGCGCTCGGCTCGGCTACCAGCGTCCACTCTGCAGGCACCCCAAGTGGTATATTATGTATTCGTGCCAAAATCGAGTAGACTTGCATTGCCGGTTTTAGAAGTATACATTTTAGTATTGCAGATATGTGAGAAGTTTGCAGATGCGCTAGCTGCAAGATAATCTCATTCAGTTTGGTTCGCCAATATGTCTAACTACGGGTGCTAGTTTAAGTTCTTTGTAAAAAATATTAAATTTTAATTTTTTTTATTTTATATGGTCGATTTTATTCAAAGACAACTTCATTTACACTCCAATTGTGTTAGCCTACTGGTATACTTGCGCTGGCTACTGCCACAGAATTTTGCTTTGCGAATGCCTATTGAACCGATTTTGAGAATTCTGTATACTATAATAAGGGATAGTAGTAATAGATATTAAAAAAAAAAAAATGGCGACAACTGAGTTGCCGCTTGTGATTGGTATTCGTTCATAACGTATATTTTGGTATACTGTTGCCTATCGGCTACTATGCTCGCGTAAGTATTAATACACAATACGGATGTTAACCTATCCATTTATAAGCATTTCCATTTTCGGTTCACCAACTATTAGTTTATTTTTAATGATAATGATATATATAAATATGCATCTTTATATATTTAAGATCATTAACTTAGACTTATTCTTATTGCTATATTTTAGTTCGCGTCAGCTAAAATTATATTTAAAACATCTTTAAATGAGATATACATATGTACATATGTATGTGTATCACTCAACCGAAGAGGCTTAATTTAATATATTGAGTTGATGTGGACAACGTCAACTAGAGGATCAGAATTCATTATATTAGGGATATGAGGTTTAGGTCAAGGTCTAGACCAATTTCATTCTAATTCAGCGCTAAACCACATAATTTTTAAGAAAACTTGTATTTAATTTCATTAAAATATCATATTTTGACCGACTTCAACAGTTTAAAGTCAAGTGGAAAGACGGAAATCATTATATAGGGTATATTGGGGTAGAGAAAGGGATGTATTATATGGGAGTTGAGGGTAGTATTGACCCGATTTTATCTATTTTTATTTTATCCAATACCACGTACTATTAACATGCCACAGACTACTAAAATGGTCCCTGGATTTCATTAAGGTACTTCACATACCTGATTCTGATTAGACATTTTAGGCACAAAGATACACTTTTATTAGCAAAACACGCTCTCATTTTTATTGAGATAACTCATGTATTGTTCGATAAATGTGGTATAAAGGCACCTGGAAGTTCGAAAATCTTTATATTACGTATATGGCGGCTAATAGAAGTATGGATCCGATTCAACCCATTTAGACATACCATTATCAGGAAAGGATACTCTCCGAATTTCAATTATTTATCTCACACATTGATCGATATTTTTGATAAAAAGTCTACTATAAGTACTTTGAACCCCATGTTCGGTACCTAGGCGCTTGAATAGTTTTGGTTCTATTGGGACAATTTTTGGTCATGGTGGCACAGTTCAAACGCACTATTCGTGCAAAGTCTTATCCCTTTAAAATAATTGGTGCTTCATTTTTATACTAGAAGGTGAAAGCCTCAGATGGAATTTAAAATTGTGTTTTATGGGAAATAGTCGTGGTTATAGACCGATTTCTCTCATTTTCGCTGTAACATGAGAATGATAAAATAGTCTTATGAACCAAATTTAGTTGAAATTGGTCGAGTAGTTCCGGAGATATGTGATTTCACCTAAATGTGGGCGGTGCCATATCCATCATCCAATCCAGTGCTCCTTACCTTTTTGTCAACTAGCATGTGTACCAAGTTCCATCAAGATTTTTTGCTCAAGTTACAGCTTGAAAAGTCAGACATACGGACGGACAGACAGTCACCCGGATTTCAACTCATCTCGTCACCTTGATAATTTATACTTATATTTATAACTCCATATCTATCTCGATTTGTTTTAGGTGATATAAACAACCGTTAGGTGAACAAAACTATTATACTCGTATGCCTTCTATATTTAAAAATAAGTTAAATTAGTTGCATTGGAAATTATTTATTACATAAAACGTTATTTCAAAGCATACCCTGCAAGACAGCTGTCGGCTTCGTCACCGGTTAATTACCCAACAGCGCTACCAGAGATTTCGGTTAAAGTTTCTATGAGTTTCTTAAGGCCCAATTGACAATTCTAACTGAAACTCTTGTATACGAGTGATCATTCATCACTCATCTACATAAAGGCCTTATGATTTGCACGGTGTGTATGTGTTGGTTTCTGCGCTCATTCTTTGAATTTATCGAAGTTGTTGAGGAATAAGTAAACAAACAATGTCATACTATTTTAAAATAATTACTATTTCAGTGATACGATATCTTTTGCTTGGGGTATTCGTTTTAGATACCCTAAGCTCCTAAGAAAGCAGCAAATGAGCTCCATTTGCTTTACATTGGTATACATATGTATGAATTTTTCGTAGAATTGTTTATGCCATGTTTTCATATGGCGAATGTTCGGCAACAAAAAAAAAAAAGACAAGAGTGACTCCTATTTAAGTATGTTGGTATGATTGTGTACACATACTTGTATGTACATATTATTTACATATGTATGTAGGACATATATATACATAAATAACGAGAACTTTTAATAAGTATACTTAGTGTTTTACAAATAAAGGCATTCGATGGTCATATTGAACATTTTTAAGCGTAAATTTATGAATCACACGGTGACAAATCAGTTGGAGCCAACGAGCCCGTTAGCTATCTTTATTTGCAGTTGGATTTTTATATTAAGATGTTTTTCGTATGTAAATTCAAAAGCAACTGCTGAAACTGGTTTTTGGTTACACATTTGAAACCTTTGATCGCAAAGTGGCATGAGTAAAGAAAGAAACCGATTTCTTTCTCCAACATCAATTCCTCAAATAATTCATACCACGGAACGGTTAATAGTAGAAACAACCGTTTATTCGTTCATCATTTCATATATGTATATGACATATTAAGAAATTGCAAAGGAATACTAGAATTAAAATTCTCAATCCACCAGAGTGTTTAATACAAAATCTAAAGCGTGAAAGTTTCAAATATCAAGTACCACCCATGTATACATACACATACACATACACATTTTCAATACTGAATTTTCAACTATTGTTTAAATATAATTTTATGATTATGATATTGGTTATTATATTGTAGAACGTTAACGCCAGTGGTAGTTTTTGTAATACACATAGTACATAATTGGCGTAGTTCCAATGATTAACGAAAATTTAGATATGTACCATCTACATATGTACACCAGTGACCAAGTAAACCTTACCACTTCACATTTTGCAATTATTCTCCAATTATCGCGGCTTAAATAATTCAGTTTTGCTAAAAACTTGAAAACCTATGAAATGGAGAATTATATTTCATTTGCAAAAAAATTTTTTTTTAAATATACTAATTTTTATATATTTCCATAGTAAGAAAACAAAAAGTATAAATGTATAATCTTTCTGTGAAATGGATCCGATATGTTTAATTATATATTGTGTTTTCAATATTGTAATAATCCTTGTATATTTTTTCAATAATCTATAACTATTGTACTAAATGTTCTAATAACTAGTTGATCAACCCTTGGCGGCTATAACTGCTTTGATCCGTTCGGGCATTGAATTAACAAGTTTTTCGAAAACCTCGTTCGAAATTTCCTGTGGCCACACATTTTCAAGATTTTTTTTACTCTGCCTTAGAGCGCAGTTTATGTTGAGCCACTTTCTTTTTCATAGCGTGCCAGAGATGCTCAATCGGATTTAAATCGGGTGAAATTACTGGCCACGTCATATGTGTTATCCGAGGTCTTCAAACAATTTGTGCACCTGGAAGAGAAAAAATGATGACAGATTGCACTATTTTAAATGGAAAGTATGCAAATGTATTGGGAATTAAAAACCATATCAAACTTACCGATTTGGCCCGATGGCATTGTGCCGAGTCATACTGAAAGATGGCCGCGGAAGTATGCCCATATTGGTCTTCTATAGCCGGAAGAATAAAATTTGATATAACCTCCCCGTATTTCTGTGTCTTCATCATACCGTCAACAAAAAGTAAAGGGCATCGTTTATGGTGAAAAAGCATACCCAGACCATTTGACTTTCAGGATGCTTAACCGATCTCACCATACAATTATCTTTAAATTGTTCTCCCTCAAATCGTGGTACAGTGCAAATTAAATTTGCTCTCATCTGACCATATTACCGTTTTTTATTGCTGTAAAGACCAGTTACGGTGGATTCTTGCCCATTCCAACCGCGCCTGTCTCATCCTTGTAGTCAAGAGTGGTTTTTTCGCTGGCCTCCTTCCACTTAAACCATACTCTTGTAGCCTCATGCGTACAATTCTTGAACTAATTGATTTGATGTTGCTCTTCCAGGTCTTTTCTTATTTGTATGGAGTTCCTGAAGCGATCTTTCAAACTAATCCTATGAATTATATTATCTGTCCTAGACGACGTCTTCCTCCTGATTTGAATCCTACTCGAATGCTCCAAACGTCCTGGTTTTTTTCTTCAGTAAATTTATTATTGTTGGATGGCTGCATCCCACTTCTTGCTATCTCGCGAACCGGCACTCGTTCTTTTTCCAACGTAAAAACAACCACTTTTTGGTCACGAGTCAACTGCTTATATTTAGCGAACATTATTCTAACCGTTCTCTATATTGTAAGAGTTAAGTTTATTTGTCAATATTTTATATTTCAATTTCAAATAAACCCAATTGCTTAGATCAGACTGAAACTTTAAATTTGTATCGAAAAATAGCGTTACAATTTCAAAGCTCAGTGGTAACGTTTATGTGGCCAATGGTTTATATGTCAAATTCATTCATTCAGTTTTCAAAACATGCAATTGAGCGTAACAATAAATTTGGTAATCCGTATTCAAGCATACCTTTGTTAATATAAGTCCAAAGTTTTGGTGTATGATTTTAATTTAATTACGGAAATTCATTAGAAATGAAAAGCAACTGGTATTAGATACATTTTAGCACCAGAAAATATGTATCTACATAAGAGCTTTGCTCTTGACATAATTTCATATTTAAAGAATATTTTGAAACACAAAATCAACGGAAACCTAGTTAAAGTTTTTTTTAAATGATAGTAGTGTTATTAAAGTTTTTGTCGCCTTAATTTCCTCAATAGTGCCTCGTCTAATTTCAATACGTCTATTACAAAGAGAAAATGTTTTATATTAATTATGTTCTTTGATATATTCGTTACTTATTATCTCAAAGTTTTATTTTAACAGGTATCACTCAGTATTTTAGCGTTCTTTTGATTCAGTCTAAAGTACTTTTGAGTTACTTAGATATGAGGCCAGCTAGCTTAGAATTTTAGAACTATTTCTTAATGTTTATTATTTCTTAATGTTTATTAAATAATCGTTTATATAATATTTCAGATCGCGAAGACCAATCGATTTTATGTACAGGTGAATCTGGTGCTGGTAAAACCGAAAATACGAAAAAAGTGATACAGTATTTGGCGTATGTAGCGGCTTCAAAACCAAAAGGCTCGGGAGCGGTAAGTCTATAAATTCGATTGCTCGAGTTCTAAGTAATGCATTTCACACTTAAATCAATTAAGTGTAAATGTATAATATGTATGTATGTATGTATCATCATTTGTTCTTAAATACACTTTTCTTTTCCCAATCCCTTCTTAAATTAAAAAAAATACAAATTTCGAAAGCGTCATTTATAAGCTTTCATTATTTGGACTTGTAGTATGTAGTATGTATTGTATGTGTAAATGTATTTATATAAAATGCCATATGTACTATATACTACGTTAATGAGTAATGAAATTGTATTCATTATTATTATTATCAGAGAAAACGAGTAAAAGCAAACATTAACTCATTCTCCTAAAAAATTATCTGAAGTGAAATGATTAAAAACCTTTTCGTTAGCAATACAAAGTGAAAATACTTATGTGGTGACTCATCAGTTCAGTGAATAAACAAAGAAACAGAAATATCTGTAAAAGTAAAAAAGACGAATGTCAGTTGAAAACAAACCACAAATCAAAAAAGTAGAAAATAAATAAATAAAATCGAATGTACAAACGAAGAATGGGGCAGAGTGTGCAGGGCTATATGGCGTAATGTTAATAAAAAAATGGTGCACAGGCTGAGACCGTGCTGTTTGAATAAAATATCTAGCTCTCAAAAGTGTTGCAGCCTCGACTGCGGCTTTTAATTCCATTTAAGGTGAACTGTGTCATCTACTATGGAATGCTTAAATCCTAAGTTTATACAAATATTGAAAAATATATAGATGCATGTACAAATATACACAAAGCTATGTACAAAAATAGACAATCAGTCGGTATATATGTATGTAGTTCCATGCAAAATGCAAGCATGAATTTGTGATAGGCGATAATTCATACATACTGAGGGCTGTGTTCCAGATCTTTTAACTTTTTAAAAAAGTTGAGAAAAACGAGATTTTATTTTTAACCCTTGTAGAACTGTAAACACTGTGCACATACTTTCAAAATAAAAAAGACAAAACATACATATGCTGGTGTTGGAGCAATGATATATGACGTAGGAGTCACATTTTACAATTTCGGCGTTTATTCCATTAATGTTGGTGTGTTAATTTAAATATATATGTAGATACTTTTTCCAACTGTTAACCATTGAGAAATTTGCTACATCAATTGGATCGATTTAAACGGGATGTAAGAACGTGAAATCATATGCTTTGACGCAGTGTTAAAATTGAAATTGAAGATAGCAGCATCTTAAACATAGCTTCACTTTAAAGTAAAAGCTTTGCCGCATGCTCATTTGTATAGATACATGTGTATGTAAGTATATATATTATTAACGTATATTTCAAACTGTCTACATACATGTTATACATATACACATATGTATGTATACATATGCAATGTGCAATTATGTTTAAATAAATTGATTGTAAGTGATTAATACTTATTCGGGTGTATTTCTGTTTCATACGGGCAAAATATAAAAACAGCAACAATGTCATGTTCGAAAATATGCTCGTGCACTTGAACTGAGATACATACATACATATGTATAATATATATGTATGTATATAATATTATATATATATATAATATCTCAGTTCAAGTGCACGAGCATATTTTCGAACATGACATTGTTGCTATTTTTATATTTTGCCCGTATGAAACAGAAATACACCCGAATAAGTATTAATCACAATCAATTTATTTAAACATAATTGCACATTGCATATGTATACATACATATGTTATACATACATATGTATATATGTATAACATGTATGTAGACAGTTTGAAATATACGTTTGGTTTATATCTAAACTTATTATACTCTCGCAACCTGTTGCTACAGAGTATAATAGTTTTGTTCACCTAACGGTTGTTTGTATCACCTAAAACTAATCGAGTTAGATATAGGGTTATATATATATAAATGATCAGGATGAAGAGACGAGTTGAAATCCGGGTGACTGTCTGTCCGTCCGTCCGTCTGTCCGTGCAAGCTGTAACTTGAGTAAAAATTGAGATATCTTTATAAAACTTGGTAGACATGTTTCTGGGTACCGTGAGACGGTTGGTATTGCAGATGGGCGTAATCGGACCACTGCCACGCCCACAAAACGCTATTATTCAAAAACAAATAAATTGCCATAACTAAGCTCCACAACAGGATACAAGACTCTTATTTGGTACACAGGATCACATTAGGGAGGGGCATCTGCAGTTAAATTTTTTTTTAAAAAGTAGGCGTGGTCCCGCCTCTAATAGGTTTAATGTGCATATCTCCTAAACCTCTAATGTTATAATAACAAAATTCACTAGAAGTAAATCTTTTTAGAACCTCTACCCACAGTGTGAAAATAGTTGAAATCGGGTGGCAACTCCGCCCACTCCCCATATAACGGTACTGTTAAAAACTACTAAAAGCGCGATAAATCAAGCACATTAAATTTTATTCTGGGATGGTATGAGATAACTTTATAGGTACCACGTTCAAAATTAGTCAGTGGGCGTGGCACCTCCCACTTTTAGGTGAAAACCCATATCTTGAGATCTGCTTAACCGATTTCAACCAAATTCGGTGCATAACGTTCTTTTCATATTTCTATGGCATAGTGCGAAAATGGGCGAAATCGGACTACAACCACGCCTATTTCCCATATAACACCATTTTCAATTCCATCTGATTCTTTCACTTTCCACTATGCATATCAAGCAACAATAATTATATCGGGGTAAAATTTTGCGTAAATAATACGTTTAAAGTATGCCATCTTGTGACCAAAAATTGTCTAAATCGAACCAAAACTGTTCAAGCCCCTAAGTACTAAATATGTGGACCCCAGTGCCTATAGTTGACCTTCTACCGAAAATATCAGTCAATCCATAAAGAAATCTCAAACGAGTATACTATTTGACTTTGCGAGAGTATAAAATGTTCGGTTACATCCGAACTTAGCCCTTCCTTACTTGTTTTATTTGATTTTGTACTAATATGGACTTTGGCATGTTTTTGAGCGGAGAAGTTTCCTTTTAAGGCAACCAAAATTTCGTTAAGAAATTCTTTTAAAGATTTTGAAGTGATTAAAAATATTCCATAAATGCTTGCGTATGCACAAGTGTGGCGATGTAAGTATGTACACATACATACATATAATTATTATTTAAGTACATACATTTGTAATAAAGTCGAATTCGTTTTGATATGTGTACATCGAAATGAACATACATGTATGTATATGCTATGTATGTACATATGCCTATCTGTCTATTGAGCACCATATAAGGATCAAATTATTTTAACTTTGTAAATATGTTTTATTCGCTGCTATCGTTGTCACCGTACGAGCACAAATATAGGTATGTAGGAATCTGTATATAGATACAAATTTGTGTGTGCACTTACACATGTTGGTATGAATAGTATTTTATGTTATGTTATTCTCGTAATTTATGAGCAAACCAAGTACTCGTGAACCATATACACTCATACATTTAATGTTCGTATGTCAGCCATGACCGAAAGCGTTGTGTGTGACTACCAACTTATGGGTTTTGGGGTAATTCCGACCGAGTCAATTTCCAAAAAAATATGTTTTTTTTTTATTAATACCTGGCGCCAAGCTGAAGGTAGGACCAAACCTCCGCTTACTAATGTCTTTAGTTAATCTCGTTTCTTTATTTTAAAGCGAAGCTCTGCCAAAACTCCTGATAATATAATATATAATATTTGCAATATAATACACAAGTTCAATCTTATAAACATATATTATATATGTGCATATTTAATAAGTGATAACATGCCTCGAAGTACAGAACTAACTAAATATGTAATTTAAAATGAATAAAATAAAAGTATTACAAGAACTTTAGGTGTTTAATATGAATATTTAAATATTATTTCTTGTTAAATATATAAGTATTTAAAAAAGTATTAGGACTTAATTTTATATTTAACTTGTGATATTTTTATTTTTATTTCATGTTTTCTCTTCAACTGCTCTACTTACTACCCACTACCACTACTATGTTGTATAATTGATTGGTTGATGTCTACTATTCGAACATTTTTTACGCCGATTTTATTTAAATGAATATACAAAATAATGTAAATATTGAAAAAATAATAATAATATTGCATCAAAATGAAAAATATATACTTGAAAATAATTTATTACACCCACACACTGCAATCTACTATTAACGTCTGTCCACCTTTATTGCTACAACCTTCATTACCGTCACCAACAAATAACTTTAAAAACGATACCACAATCACTAACACCACGAAATGTCCAATCAACCGACCGATTACCAACAATCAACCCAAACAAAAAATTACCTCAACAATTTCTGCCAAAAAGGGACCTCATCCGGCTTTAATTATTGTAAGTATCTGAAACAAACCCATTTTTCCATGTTACTATGATCTATTGTTATTTTGATTGCGTATGTGTTCTTTTAATACTTTTTAATTTGGTTATTTATGTTTTTATTTAACTTAATCCTTAAGGTTTTAGTTTGGAAACAAAGATAAGCATATTCTAAAAGTTGTGAATAACTGTGTAATTGAATAAATGTTAGGTAGTGAATAATTAATTACTTATTTTTCACAAAATGTTCTGTGTTGCCACATTTTGTTACATATACATTTGTTTAGTTTTGTTTTCAACTCTGCCCTTTGACCTAAATAATCGGTGTGTTGCATATTTCAATATTTTATTACATGCATATTTTGTAACAAATATCAACCTTTGAGTACTCGTATTATAAATTATTCTTTAATTCACGATACTGTTTTGGTTTTTACAAGCATACAATAGGACAATATATGAAATATTTCTCCAAAAAGCAAAGAAATTGTTAATATAATTGTCCTCTATTTCCTAGAGTAAACTAATATTTGTATTGTGTTGATCGTTATTTATTACGTTTAAAAGGCTTTTATTGCTATTCATTCACTTAATTGATCATAGAAAATTGTTTGATAGAATCCCTTAGGATTCAGTACTCTTTCGAGCTTGGATACATTATAGTTTATTGGTTTTCTTTGTTAAAATTGACAATGATTGTAAGTCCTCATTTCAAAGTTATTTCGATTTTTTAGGTCAGAATGCATTTATAATATTTTACCCAAATCAATAACAATTAATTTTTCTAACATATCGACTATGGATATTTTCGCTATATACTATACTATTAACGCTTTTACCGTTTTAAACCACAATAATTATAACTCAATGTTATTTGTTCGCCCTGAATGTTGGTCTTGGTGACTTTGAAATCAACTATTTATATTTCTGTAATCATTTCGGCGTTCATCGAATCCACTAAATGATTCGTCACGATTTAATCACGTATACAACAAATATGAATTTTAGAGTAATAATGCGGAAACGTTTGCGGTAAAGTACCATAATGCTATAAGATTTGCCTATACCATTTTTGCTTGAGTAAGATTTTTTATGAATTTTTATCCTTAGATTGAGAATGTAATTTTGTAAAATGTGTTTATTGTATTTGGCTGTTTTGTAGTAACTGTAATCAATTTCAACCTTTTCGTTGCCGATATTATTTATTATTATTATTGTTATTGGTGCACTAATTTTCTTTAGACTGCTACACTTTACTACAGTTTAGATACATTAATTACGATATAATATGTATGCCGAAAGTATTAATTTAAAACCAATGGAGCGTAGTAATAGTATCTTAGGTGGAAATCGGTTTAACTGATTACGGCGCCTCAAAAAGTTAGTTTATTTTACCGAAAACCCCAATTGAAAGAATTCTGTAAAATATTCATCCATTAATACCTCCACCACAATGCCCTGAACATAAAACACAAGTCTTTAATAAATGAGTATTATAATTATACAAATAGATTTGCATTTAAACAAATGCAATTAATGCTACACTATTCTGGATAAGACAGACATACTCGTACTTACTTTTCGAAGTGCACTTTTTAATTGGCATTGTATATATTCATGAAATTAAAGCCAATTATTCGAATTTTACAGAGTTTGCAAGTTAATGCGAAGAGAAGTTATAGAATCAAATGTAATGTTCATGGTGTGTCAGATTCTGTTTGTGTTAAGAATGAAAGTCGAAAAGATGTTCCTAATTTGAAAGAAAATACTGGATGCCTATGTATGATGTCGAAGGTATTTTCGTAGTTGTTATTTTAATACATCAATACTGTTGCAAATAGGCTATTTGGTAGTTTTGTGCTGATTTACATATATAAATATGTAAATATAAAGTAGACGTCCGAATATTATACACATAAGTACGTATTTACATATATGTAAGTACGCAACAATTTGGCTTTGTAAAAAATATAGTCCCATTTTTAATTGAATCTTCATATATCAATACTAAATATTTTGTTCTTTTTTAATTGTGATAAATAATTTGTCTCTCTGCAAATGTATAAGAAGAACACTCTAATACTGTAGTTAGAATTAAATAATTTTTATATGCATGATTCAGTGAATGTTAATTTTCTGAATAATTATAATGAAGATATGCATGGACGAATCAGATATGTCGCAAAGGAACGCAAAAATTAATTTTTTAAATAGATTCACTTGAGCTTTTTTACTTACTATATTCTCATTGAGGAATATTCCCCTTAGGAATATTTACACTCTGACATTTCTGTTCATTCATTCAAGTCGTCAATATAAATAATTCTAATTTTCAATATAATTATTTCTTAATTTTATAAGTCGCTTATATTAGAACAATCGTGAAGTAATTTTATTTGGCCTGATTATCCTAAATAATAAAGTAATGAAAATAATTTATTACACAGGGCGAACTGGAACAACAACTTTTGCAAGCTAATCCCATTTTGGAAGCTTTTGGAAATGCGAAGACTGTAAAAAACGATAATTCATCTCGTTTTGTAAGTATCGACTTAACAAATTGTACTACTAAAACTTGTGTATACTTGTAGACCTAAATTTTGAAAATTAATATATAAAAATTTTAAATTTAATTTGTTTTTGAACAAGAATTGATCAAATTAGAGCACGGCAACAATCGTTTTCGGTTGATAAATGATTCATTTGTAGGATGATATTTTCTATGGACAATTACAACACTTATTAGCTAATAAAAAATTGACACTTGACTATTGTCAAATCTCGGCAATCTGCCTCATAATTTATCACTTTTAAGTAAAATAGTACCATAAATCTTGACTTCTTGTCATATTTCTATGTTATAGTGGGCGAAATCGGATTACAACCACGCCTATTTCCCATATAACACCATTTTAAATTCCACCTGATTCTTTCACTTTCCACTATGCAAATCAAGCAAAATATATAAAGAAATCTCAAACGAGTATACCGTTTGACTTTGCAAGAGTATAAAATGTTCGGTTACATCCGAACTTAGCCCTTCCTTACTTGTTTTATTTATTTTTATACCCTGAACAGGGTATAATAAGTTTGCCACGAAGTTTGTAACACCAAGAAGGAAACGTTGGAGAACCTACAACATAAATACATAAATGATCAGCATGATGAGCTGAATTGATTTATCCATGTCCGTCTGTCTGTCCGTTCCTCTGTATATTAGGTCAAGTAAAAAGTTCGTTCGGTTTTCTAAGAGATGGCGTTATTGTCCATAGTACTAGTGTTACGTGTCGCATCATGTCATACTATACGGCGCTGAAAACGTGTTTATTCGCGCTAAAAGTTTGTCTTTGACAGTTTTTCGATTGATTGACTCAGTGCATTGTGAGCGCTCGTCAAAGATGGACACCAGCAAAGAGAAATCGCTATATTTTACAATTTTGCTTCGATCAAGGCGAAAAAGCAGCCAAAGCGGCTGAAAAAATTAATTTAGTTTATGGGCCCGATACTATAAACGAATGTGTAGCACAAAAGTGGTTTTCTAGGTTCCGTTCCGGTAATTTCGATGTCAAAGATGCACCACGCGTGGGGAGGCCTGGCATCGAAAATTGCGATAAAATCATGGAAATAGTGGAAACAGACCGTCACGTGAGCAATTATTTAATTTCTGAGGAACTAAAGATAAGCCAGAAAACCGTTTGGAACCATTTGGATAACCTTGGATTCAAAAAGAAGCTCGATGTTTGGGTGCCACACGAACTAACGCAAAAAAACATGATGGATCGAATTTCCATCTGCAAATCGCTGCTGAATCGCAACAAAATCGACCCGTTTCTGAAGTGGATTGTGACTGGCGATGAAAATGGGTCACTTACGACAACATCGATCGCAAACGGTCGTGGTCAAAGCTCGGAGAAGCGGCCCAGACGGTGGCCAAGACCGGATTGACGGTCAGGAAGGTTTTGCTGTGTGTTTGGTGGGATTGGCAAGGAATTATCTACTACGAGCTGCTCCCCTATGGCCAAACGCTCAATCGGCCCTCTACTGCCAACAACTAGACCGCTTGAAGGCAGCATTCATCCAGAAGAGGCCATCTTTGATCAACAGGGGCCGAATTGTGTTCCATCAGGACAACGCCAGGCCACACACGTCTTTGGTGACGCGCAGAAGCTCGGATGGGAGGTCCACCCACCTTATAGTCCGGACCGGGAACCAAGTGATTACCATATTTTCCTGTTCATGGCGAACGCGCTTAATGGTGAGAAGTTGACCTCAACAGAGGCCTGTGAAAATTGGCTCTCCGATTTTTTTGCCAATAGGGCGCAGCCTTCTACGAGAGGGGTATAATGAAGTAGAAGTATTGGCAACAAGTTCACGAACAAAACGGCGCATATTTGACTTAAATCGGACAAATGTACACAAAGTTTTCGTCTTTTGTAAAATCAATTAAAAACCGAACGAACTTTTTACTTGACAAATATATGCAAACAAGTCGTTCAGTTTTTAATACTATGTTCGCACCGAATTGAAATCCTCTTGAAAACACAATTTGTGGATTGTGGAACCAAAGTCGTTCTGACCGACAAGAACAGTGACGGTCATCTGATAGGTAATATGACAGTCATAGCTGAAAAAATTTTGTCAGCGCGCAGAACAAAGTTTCTATCATTTTCTTAAGATCCTTGTTTTCTTTTTGTTTGTTTGTTTTGTTTTTTCTGAGTCATTGCTGACCATAAATCCGTCATAGCTGAAAATTGTCAGTTATGACTGAAACGCTATCAGAAGTGAAAAATTCTTTTGCGCAGTAGATAATATAATTTTTATTTCTTTAACAAATTTCAAACTTTTGATCAAAATTAGTTATAATAATATATACTTAAATATAAAAAGGAATGCAACAAAAAATAAAATAAGTAAGGAAGGGCTAAGTTCGGATGTAACCGAACATTTTATACTCTCGCAAAGTCAAATGGTATACTCGTTTGAGATTTCTTTGTGGATTGGCTGATATTTTCGGTAGAAGGTCCACTATAGGCACTGGGGTCCACATATTTAGTACTTAGGGGCTTGAACAGTTTTGGTTCGATTTAGACAATTTTTGGTCACAAGGTGGCATACTTTAAACGTATTATTCACGCAAAGTTTTCCCCGATATAATCATTGTTGCTTGATATGCATAGTGGAAAGTGAAAGAATCAGATGGAATTTAAAATCGATTTCGCCCATTTTCGCACTATAACATATAAATATGAGAAGAATGTTACGTACCGAATTTGGTTGAAATCGGTTAAGCAGATCTCAAGATATGGGTTTTCACCTAAAAGTGGGCTGTGCCACGCCCACTGTCTAATTTTCAATGCGGTTCCTATAAAGTCATCTCATACCATCCCAGAGATAAAATTTAATGTGCTTGATTTATCGCGCTTTTAGTAGTTTTTAACAGTACCGTTATATGGGGAGTGGGCGGAGTTGCCACCCGATTTCAACTATTTTCACACTGTGGGTAGAGGTTCTAAAAAAATTTGCTTCCAGTGAATTTTGTTATTATAACATTAGCGGTTTAGGAGATATGCACATTAAACCTATTAGAGGCGGGACCACGTCTACTTTAAAAAAAAATTTAACTGCAGATGCCCCTCCCTAATGTGATCCTGTGTACCAAATAAGAGTCTTATATCTTATTGCGGAGCTTAGTTATGGCAATTTATTTGTTTTTGATTAATGGCGTTTTGTGGGCGTGGCAGTGGTCCGATTACGCCCATCTGCAATACCAACTGTCTCACGGTACCCAGAAACATGTCTACCAAGTTTCATAAAGATATCTCAATTTTTACTCAAGTTACAGCTTGCACGGACAGACGGACGGACGGACAGACAGTCACCCGGATTTCAACTCGTCTCTTCATCCTGATCATTTATATATATATAACCCTATATCTAACTCGATTAGTTTTAGGTGATACAAACAACCGTTAGGTGAACAAAACTATTATACTCTGTAGCAACAGGTTGCGAGAGTATAAAAATATGAAAATATAAAAATAAATTTTCACTTGATGCCATCTCTCAATAGCTCTGCGTACGTCTTTCTCCAATCAGTGGATAGTTCTGAATTTAAAAATGCAAATGTAAATTAACAGTACTGACATATCAAATGTGAGTGTATTGGTGAACTCATCAGCAGTTTCTTGTAGGGTACGTTTAGGCCAATTATGGAATATAAACAAATTGTCTACTAACATTTAGGGCTGGCAAAATATGTCTTCTAATAATATCGATTAAACTAGAGCAGGCACCGATTATAATGAGTGGAATGTAAGTTTTCAAGGGGTTTTCAGCGAAAACTATGTTTTCGTTTGACAGATTTTGTTTTTATGAAAACACAAGTTTTCGCATGAAAACCTCTTTTGTCTATGAAAACACGAATTTTGTGTCGGTGCGAACATAGTATAAGCTATCGATCTAAAATTTTACACATTTGCTTTTTTTTTTACTAAGAAGCTGCTCATTTGTCGGAACTGGTCGATATCGGACCACTATAGCATACAGCTGCCATACAAACTGAACAATCGGAAGCAAGTCCTTTTTTATTTTACGTAATATCTTCACGAAATTTGGCATGAGTTATTTTCTAAGGCAACAACGTAATCTACGAAAAAATTGTTTAGATCAGATCACTATAGCATATAACTGCCATACAAACTGAACGATCGGAATTAAGTGCTTGTATGGAAAACTCTTTCATTTGACGAGGTATCTTATTTTTATTTAAGGCAATAGTGCAATCTCCGAAGAAATTGTACAGATCGGATGGCTATAACATATAGCTGTCATATTAACTGAACGATCGGAGTAAAGTGCCTGCATGGAAAACTTTTTTACTTGCCGAGGCATCTTCACGAAGTTAGATCGGAATCAAGTTATTGTACATTTGTACCTGTGAAGGATATTATAGATTCGGCGCAACCGAAGTTAACGTTTTTTCTTGTTTATTATTTTTTTAAATTTTAGTTATAACAATTTGGGATGCAATTTTAACAACTTTTTGTCTACCATATTTAGGGTAAATTTATACGCATAAACTTCGATGCGTCGGGTTACATTTCGGGTGCGAATATCGAAACATACCTGTTGGAGAAATCTCGTGCCATTCGCCAAGCGAAGGATGAACGGACTTTCCACATATTTTATCAATTACTTGCCGGTGCATCACCGGAACAACGAGAAAAGTTCATACTCGACGATATCAAATCATACCCGTTTCTTTCAAATGGAAGCCTACCAGTGCCCGGCGTGGATGATTTTGCTGAATTTCAGGCAACAGTTAAGTCTATGAACATCATGGGAATGACCAGCGATGACTTCAATTCTATATTCCGCATAGTTAGTGCTGTACTGTTATTTGGGTGCATGAAATTCCGACAAGAGCGTAATAATGATCAAGCAACGCTTCCAGACAACACTGTGGCTCAAAAGATTGCTCATTTACTTGGTTTGAGTGTAACGGATATGACAAGAGCCTTCCTAACACCTCGTATTAAGGTGGGCCGGGATTTCGTTACAAAAGCCCAAACTAAAGAGCAAGTAGAATTTGCTGTGGAAGCCATTGCCAAAGCCTGCTACGAACGTATGTTCAAATGGTTAGTAAACCGTATTAACCGGTCGTTGGATCGTACCAAACGCCAGGGTGCATCTTTTATAGGTATACTTGATATGGCTGGTTTTGAGATATTCGAATTGAATTCATTCGAACAGCTTTGCATTAATTATACCAATGAAAAATTGCAACAACTCTTCAATCACACGATGTTCATTTTGGAACAGGAGGAATATCAACGGGAAGGTATTGAATGGAAATTTATTGACTTTGGACTAGATCTCCAGCCAACGATTGATTTAATTGATAAACCTGGCGGTATAATGGCATTATTGGACGAAGAATGTTGGTTCCCAAAGGCTACAGACAAAACGTTTGTGGACAAATTGGTATCGGCACATTCCATGCATCCGAAATTTTTGAAAACAGATTTTCGCGGCGTAGCTGATTTTGCTATTGTTCACTATGCTGGAAAGGTTGATTACTCGGCTGCCAAATGGCTAATGAAGAATATGGATCCTTTGAATGAAAATATTGTTTCGCTGTTGCAAGCATCGCAGGATCCTTTCGTTGTGAATATTTGGAAGGACGCTGAAATTGTGGGCATGGCTCAACAAGCATTAACCGACACTCAATTTGGTGCCCGCACCCGTAAGGGGATGTTCCGAACTGTATCACATTTGTACAAAGAACAACTTGCTAAATTAATGGATACCTTACGAAATACAAATCCAAACTTTGTACGTTGCATTATTCCAAATCATGAAAAGCGTGCTGGCAAGATAGATGCGCCTTTGGTTTTAGATCAGTTACGCTGCAATGGTGTATTGGAAGGAATTCGTATTTGTCGTCAGGGCTTCCCTAATCGCATTCCCTTCCAAGAGTTTCGGCAACGCTACGAACTACTTACGCCGAACGTTATACCCAAAGGTTTTATGGACGGCAAGAAAGCATGCGAAAAAATGATTCAAGCTTTAGAATTGGATACGAACCTGTTTAGAGTTGGTCAATCGAAAATCTTTTTCCGAGCAGGTGTATTGGCTCATCTGGAAGAAGAACGTGATTACAAGATCACCGATTTAATTGTGAATTTCCAAGCATTCTGTCGTGGCTATCTAGCACGCCGCAATTACCAAAAACGTTTACAGCAGTTAAACGCAATTCGTATAATACAACGAAATTGTGCGGCATATCTGAAGTTACGCAACTGGCAGTGGTGGCGTCTGTACACAAAAGTAAAGCCCTTGTTGGAGGTAACTAAACAAGAGGAGAAACTGGTGCAAAAAGAAGATGAGCTTAAACAGGTGCGTGAAAAACTGGATGTTTTGGCCAAAAGCACACAGGAGTACGAACGTAAATATCAACAAGCGCTAGAGGAAAAGACCACGTTAGCGGAACAATTACAAGCTGAAATTGAACTTTGTGCTGAAGCAGAAGAGTCACGTTCCCGTTTGATGGCTCGCAAGCAAGAGTTAGAGGATATGATGCAAGAATTGGAAGCGCGTATTGAAGAGGAAGAAGAAAGGTCACTTGCACTCGGAGCAGAGAAGAAGAAGTTAGAGCTGAATATTCAAGATCTCGAGGAACAGTTGGAAGAAGAAGAGGCGGCTCGACAGAAATTACAACTAGAAAAGGTACAGTTAGACGCTAAAATCAAGAAATACGAAGAAGATTTGGCTGTTACTGATGATCAAAATCAGAAGTTGATAAAAGAGAAGAAAATACTAGAGGAACGTGCCAATGACCTTTCTCAAACATTGGCGGAAGAGGAGGAGAAAGCAAAGCACTTAAGTAAACTAAAAGCTAAGCATGAAGCTACAATAGCTGAATTAGAGGAACGATTACATAAAGATCAGCAACAACGACAAGAATCCGATCGTTCCAAGCGTAAGATTGAAACCGAGGTGGCCGACTTGAAGGAGCAATTAAATGAGCGTCGCATTCAAGTGGAGGACATGCAAACGCAATTGGTGAAACGTGAAGAGGAATTGACGCAAACCTTAATGCGTATCGACGAGGAATCTGCAGCGAAAGCCACCGCACAAAAAACGCAGCGCGAATTGGAATCACAATTGGCTGAAATTCAGGAAGACTTGGAAGCCGAAAAAGCTGCTCGAGCGAAAGCAGAAAAAATACGCCGAGATTTAGGCGAGGAACTGGAGGCACTGAAAAACGAACTCCTAGACTCTTTGGATACAACAGCTGGTGAGTAAGCAAAATCTCTTATATGAATAAGCTATAAGGTACTTTTGAAATTTTGATCAATGAGTTATGAAAACTGTTCACATAAATATTTGAGGTATTTATTTTTATATGCACGTATATTTTTTTAAAAGATTTTTTAATTTTACAATTGAATTGAATGTCTTGCTTTTCTTTCCCACTTGTAGCTCAACAAGAGTTACGTTCAAAGCGGGAACAAGAACTGGCCACTCTGAAGAAATCACTAGAAGATGAGGCAGTCAATCATGAATCATTTTTATCTGAAATGCGACACAAACATTCCCAAGAACTGAATGCAATCAACGATCAATTGGAAAACTTGCGCAAAGCAAAAGCAGTGCTCGAAAAATCGAAGGGCACTTTGGAGGCGGAAAATGCAGACTTGGCAACTGAACTGCGTAGCGTTAATAGTTCACGTCAAGAAAATGATCGCCGAAGAAAACAAGCGGAATCGCAAATTGCTGAACTTCAGGTATGACGTATGAATTTGTATGTCAATATTAAGGCATTTCTGATAAATATAATATTATTTCTTGTGACATTATATATTACGCCGTTGTCAAATGGATACTAAATTAGCATTGTCGCAAACATATATATGTATAAGAGTATATACAAGGTATATTAAAAAATAACGGAATTTTGAAAAAGATATTTATTTATTCGTCTACATTAATGTCGTCGGCTTCCAAATAGTCCCCATTCGATATTATGCACTTATGCCAACGCTTCTTCCAATCGTCGAAACACTTCTTAAACTTAATTTTTGGGATAGTCTTTAGTTTTTCATCGATTTTCATCTGTCTTGCAAAACGCCGACGGCCCGGAAAAGGTTACACGGAGCCATGGCTGGCGAATATGGAGGCTGGGGCATAATTACTGTAAATTTTTTTGCTCATAAAAACACGTCTAACCTTAGCGGCTGCTACAAACAATGTAAACAAATGAATACAGCTGAAAATTATATTTTACTTCAGGGGCATGTACATATATCAACATAATCACATCAATTATTTTCTAAACACACCTCGCATGTATTTATGTATATCCATATTGCAATGTTATCATGTAACCAAACTGGATGCATCCAATTTCTCAGCTCCGAGTTTTGTGGTTTATATACTAATTTATAAATTATCCAATAATATTCGTCGAGTCGTGTTCATAAACATAGCAGTGCTTTCAGTTTAAATTTTAAGTCATAGCTGCATAATTTGATTTTGCATGAAATCTCGATTTCACAATTAGGGCATGTTAATACTTTCAGAAATATTTTATTTCACAAAAAATGTCAGTTAAACACGTCAAAATCATATTTAAAACAATTTCATATGTTTTTATATTTCATGTATTTTAATCCGATCAAATTAGACACAAAATAAGAGTGAAGGTACACAAATTTAGGAGAGTTATTAAAAACAACATACGAGAACTCCTCCATGTCCCAGTATGTGGAAAAAAATTTATTCGAGGTCAAAGATCAAAAAAATTTTATTTCGCGATTTTCAGCGAAGCGGTGAATTTTAATATACAAAAATCGGAGACCATAAAATTATCTATGAAAACTGTATCTCACCATTTTTGAGATATAATAAATCAAAAAGTTGTTAAAAACGTACAAGTGGCGTGAAAACGTGTGCCTATTATAACAATCAATATATCTCAGAAACGGTGGCTCTTAGGAAAAAATTATTTACACATTTTATGTAGATAATATTGTAGAATGTTTTTGAGGTAATTTTATGATAAATTTTACCGCTTCGCTTTGAAAGGCTAGATTGATTTGATTGATTGACTGATGTTATCTAAAAATTTGTTGAAATTCTGAGAAATTTCTGTATTAATCACATATTGCAGTTTAATAGTATTAATAAATAACAATATAATTTGTTCTCCATCCAGTTGTTGCACAATATACCTAATTGATAAATATTAATAATGTGTAGGTAAAACTAGCTGAAATCGAACGTGCCCGATCAGAACTCCAAGAGAAATGCACAAAACTGCAACAGGAGGCAGAAAATATAACGAATCAGTTGGAAGAAGCCGAATTGAAAGCATCGGCTGCTATAAAATCTGCTAGTAATATGGAATCTCTACTGACAGAAGCGCAGCAATTACTTGAGGAAGAGACGCGGCAAAAGTTATCGTTGAGCTCAAAACTAAGGCAATTAGAATCAGAAAAGGAAGCATTGCAGGAACAACTAGAGGAGGATGAAGAAGCGAAACGTAATTATGAGCGGAAATTGGCCGAGTTAACCGCACAAATGCAGGATATTAAGAAAAAGGCAGAAGAGGATGCAGATCTGGCTAAAGAGTTAGAGGAGGGCAAAAAACGTTTGAATAAAGAGCTTGAAGCTCTTGAAAGACAAGTTAAAGAATTGATTGCTCAAAATGATCGTTTAGATAAAAGTAAAAAGAAGATACAGTCGGAACTGGAGGACACAACTATTGAGTTGGAAGCACAACGTACAAAGGTATTGATATCTGAATTTTTGAATGTTTGAAAATATATGTATTTTTTGCTTTTGGCAGGTACTTGAATTGGAGAAGAAACAAAAGAATTTCGATAAAATACTTGCGGAGGAAAAAGCCATTTCGGAGCAAATAGCTCAAGAGCGTGACACTGCGGAGCGGGAAGCCCGGGAAAAAGAAACTAAGGTGCTTTCACTAACTCGTGAATTAGATGAAGCTTATGATAAAATCGAAGATTTAGAAAACAAAAGAAAAGTGCTTCAGAACGAGCTAGATGATTTGGCAAATTCACAAGGTACTGCGGATAAAAACGTGCACGAGTTAGAAAAGGCCAAACGTGCATTGGAGTCGCAGCTGGCTGAATTGAAGGCCCAAAATGAAGAACTTGAAGATGATTTACAATTGACCGAAGATGCCAAGTTGCGCTTAGAAGTGAATATGCAAGCATTGCGATCACAATTTGAGCGAGATTTACAAGCGAAGGAAGAGCAGGCGGAAGAGAAGCGCCGTGGTCTTATTAAACAAATACGTGATTTGGAAGCGGAGTTGGATGAGGAACGAAAACAGCGCACTGCTGCTGTGGCAGCAAAAAAGAAGCTAGAAGGGGACTTAAAAGAGATGGAAACAACAATGGAAATGCATAACAAGGTCAAAGAGGACGCGTTGAAACATGCTAAAAAGCTTCAAGCTCAAGTTAAGGATGCTTTGCGCGATGCTGAAGAAGCCAAGGCAGCGAAAGAAGAATTGCAAGCAGCAAGTAAAGAAGCTGAACGTAAAGTTAAAGCTTTGGAAGCGGAGCTACTCCAATTAACAGAAGATTTAGCAAGCTCCGAAAGAGCTCGTCGTTCTGCCGAAACCGAACGTGATGAACTTGCCGAAGAAATTGCAAATAACGCAAGCAAAGGTTCACTTATGATTGATGAAAAACGTCGATTAGAGGCCCGAATCGCTACGTTGGAAGAAGAACTGGAAGAAGAACAATCCAATTCAGAATTGCTATTAGATCGTAGTCGTAAGGCGCAGTTATCCATTGAGCAACTTTCGACTGAGTTGGCAAATGAAAAATCAAATTCTCAAAAGAATGAAAATACTCGTGCATTACTTGAGCGCCAAAACAAAGAACTTAAAGCCAAATTAACTGAGATTGAAACGGCTCAGCGCACTAAAGTGAAGGCTACAATCGCAACGCTGGAAGCAAAAATAGCCAACCTTGAAGAGCAGTTAGAAAATGAGGGTAAAGAACGCCTTTTGCAGCAGAAGGCCAATCGCAAAATGGATAAAAAGGTTAAGGAGCTAACAATGAATATCGAAGATGAGCGTCGTCATGCTGATCAATACAAGGAGCAAATCGATAAAGTACGTTCCTGTAAATGTCACAATAAATAACGAATTATACTAATTACCTATTTCCTAATATAGCTCAACAGCCGTATGAAGCTACTTAAGCGAAATCTTGACGAAACCGAAGAGGAATTGCAGAAGGAAAAAACGCAAAAGCGCAAATATCAACGCGAGTGTGAGGATATGATTGAAAGTCAAGAAGCAATGAACAGAGAGATCAACTCTCTAAAAACAAAATTAAGGTAAGAGAAAAAGAGTAATAGAACATAGTTCCAGAAAAATACAGGGTGGCTCACGAAACGTGTTACATAAACAAACCGTCATAAATTTATTTTAATCAATGCATTACATTAATTTATTTTTTTTTTGTATTGTAATGGAAATTTTATTTTATTTTATATAATTAATAATTTTTAAAAATTAATAATATTTAAAAATTAATAATATTTAAAAATTATTGATAAATGACCTCCGTGCTCAGCCACGCATATGCGACACCTAATTAGAAATATATTCATTGCGGCCTGGTTGAAGTCGGAATTGCCTCATGTATCTATTTAATGGACTGCTTCAATTCAGTCAGATTTATGGGTTTTGTTTTGTACACCTCTTGCTTGAATGTGACAAATACAAAAAGTCTGGTTCAGTCAAGTCAGGTGACCTTGGGGGCCAGCGGAAAGTGGAGTTTCTTGATAATAATTTGTATTCAAATTTTCGCTGGAGCTCCGCAATGATTGGTCTGTGTGCGAAGGTGCTCCATCTTGCTGGAACCAAACGTTATTGAAAGAGATACGTCTTCGGCGCAGTTCTGAATTTGACATTGCAATAATTTTTTGACAAAATTCCAGCCGAATTGGCAAATCTAAGAGGGTTTAACCGGCTTGTTATTTGAACTTTTTACGGAAACATGTTTAAGTCATCATGAATTATCCGTTGTAATGACCGTCTGCTAACTCCAAGTTGCGAGTCGAAACTCTTGGATTTGCCTGAATTGACGATGCAACAACTGCGATTGTTTCTTGAACACGAACATACGGATCTCGATGGTACGGTCTTCTTGCGATACTTCTAGATTGTGCAAACATGTTTACCAACTTCATAATGATCTATCTACTCGGGGGAGTGCCGCCAAAATCCCGTCTGAGATCCCTTAGGACGGAAATAACGGACTGAAAACCATGATACCGCTGCACTATCCAAACCCTCTTTTCGGTATCCCAAGCATTCATTTTTAAAAAACTTAAATAATAACCTGAAAAATAAATAGAAAAAAGTAACTCGATTACTTACACAGAAAAAAAGTTATTACGGTTCGTTTTTGTAGTACGATTCGTGGGCCACCCTGTACTATAGACTCATAAATATATAGCGAAATTATACCAATATATATTTTAATTTCACCTATTACATACAATTGTATTTCTAAGCTTTAATTTATAGTTATTTCTCATGCTCATTGATGATTATGCTTAAATTATTTAAAATAAAATTACAAATACCATTTGAATGTCAAACTATAGATCGATGCAAGTGGCAGAAACTGAAAAGGCTAAAGCCTATTCACCTAAGAAGGACGCTTCACTTATTATGAATTGTGAAGGCTTGTAAAGCGGCGGTTAAAAATGTTTAAAATGGGGAAAAGTTTAAAATGTAAGAGCGTCGAAATTTGTTTTGCCTTTCTGAGTTCTCGCACGTATTTTAGATAATTTGACCCTATCCACAAATATCACAAGCCAACCTAAGAAACTCTTGAATGTTCTTACATATTTCCCTTATCTCAAAAAATACTTGGATTTCGTTTTCAAATACCCTGAAAGTGATTCAAATAATCAACCATAGAAGATACGAATTATTTACAGATGTATATTTTAAATATATTGTATTTTGTGTTAGTTTAATCAGAGTTAAATATAAATGGTACGGTACAATATAAAAATTATGGTATACTTTCCTCACTAAACAATGTTTCAGCAATAAAGAAATTATAGTTGACGATCAGCACTTATTTATCTATTTATGTTGTCTACATCATTCTAAATACAGTAACAAGAAGAAGAATATATTAGGAAAGTGTTGATTGTTGTTTCTTTGAAGTATTTTATAAATCTCTTGGGCTGATGGAATACGAAAATTTCACATTACATTATAATTAGATAAGTCTTAGATTATTATCATCTACAGTCTAAAATAATTACATTCTCATAGGAGATTTGTACTAAAATGTATATACCCATACCTTTTTTTAAAAAAATATGTCGAATGTAAAAATATAATTTTTTTATGTTTTCATGAATTCAGATGGTATGTTACAAGTATTTTAACTGTAAGCGTTATTGAATAGAAGCATGCGATTTATGTTTGATAACGTACAATACTAAATGCCATTAGCTATCCTGCATGCCACAAAAGTCATTCCCGGCGTACCAAAGTGGACATTTGTACATTATTTGTATGAATCATAATTCTCTTAAAGAACAACCAAATCTTTTGATTTCGTTTTGTATTGTGCATGCAAAATTGTTGTTGTTAATATTTCCTCGCTCATTTTATCTTTAGATATAATAATGCTTTAATTTCTTTGCAGACGAGCTGGTGGGGGTATGGGTTTAAGTTCGAGCCGGTTGACTGGCACACCATCATCGTCGAAACGGGGCGATGATAGTTCCTCGGTGCAAGATGAATCATTAGATGGAGAAGACTCGGGCAATTAATATGTTAATTGGAAGTTAATTTTTTAATTGAATTAATATACGAAAGAAATTTGTATTTTTTGTTAAAATCAAACACTCCATTATCTGTTGACTATTGTGAGCAGCAACTAAAATGTAAAACGTATTTGAAAAGAGCATTCACTCTCATACACAACACATCAACTCGGACACATGAATAAACACATCGAAATATGAATTGATTAACGATTAGAAGCATTTGTACACTTTTTATACGCAATGTCATTTTATACATTTCCTTTTAAGCATCGACGTACAATTTACGAGCAAGCATACCCCAACTTAACATAACTACATAAACATTTTATACACCTACGAAATTAATGATTAAATTGAGCCTACAAACGAGTATTCGAGTAATTACGGAAAATTGCATTTATACGATTAAGATAAAAATAAAGTAATAAAAATATGGTAACACGGGAATTATAATATTTATTTCATACAATATGTACTCAGTACACACGGTGTACAGTCGTTCAGCCCATTGCGATTTTCCAAAATACTTAAATTGGTCAAATCTAACTAGTACTACTATTACATATGTCTGAACATGGTGACGATAGTAAATAATGAAAATACCTTTATTTCTTTATGTTCACAATTGTTTATAACTATGTATGTGAATATTAGGAACTTTTGCATCACACCACAACAAATAATAAAATACTTTACAAATACCTTTAAGCTGTGAGTAGAATTTATCAAAAACCTTGTATGGTGGCAAGATAATAGATAACAATGTTATAACATTAAAAAAGTCAGTATTTTTCAACGTCATATTTTGATAAATTGCTTTCTTTTGAATTATTTTTGTGTTATTTTCTGCCAGAAGTTCTTAAATGTGTAGCTGTACTATAAACGAATTGCGGTATGACCTCGGTAGTCGGTGGGGCAGGATTGTTAAAAACACGTGCACTGTCCATAAAAGAAATTGATTAGTAGAGATATGATGCAATTTATTGAAGGATTTCTCTATGCCACCTTATATAATTTCATATAATAAGGGAGATGGCACAGGGATTCAAAATAAAAATTCAGTTGTAATTCAGTCATATGCACATACAGTACTGACATGTGGAAAGGCCAGAATAAAATCATATCAATCATTATATTACACAATTGAGTATTCTTTTTCCATTCTATTTCCCACGGGATTTTTGAAGGTTTATAAATAGTATTTATATGCATAAAAGAAAACAAATTTAAAGGAGTGTTGAGTGCCTTTTTACATTTCAGTGACGATGATCCATACATATACATACATACTTGCTCTGTAATGTAGTAATATCTACGGCAAAAACCTTATTCATATAAACTTTATATATCTATTTGTCGCCGTTCTTGCAATATACATACACATATGTCATATGTACATAAGTATAAAAATATGAAAATATCCAAGTTTACATGAAATTGAACGAACTCATTTAGTATCCGAATATAACGTTACATTAATGTTATGAAACTGGAATTTCTATATTTCTAGCTTGAAAACGTTATGTATTCTCTAAGTGTTTCTAAAGACGTACATACTCACATATACATATGTCTTCAAGATGTCCCCCATATCATATAAAATATATTTTGTTGTTATGTTCTGCAATGTGCCATTAACAAATCCTTCAAATCAATATAACTCCTCGTCCAACAGTTATGTATTCTGTTATTTTTTAAATTTGAAAAGCATCTTGTGTTGCCTTTTAATATTACAGTGTTTCTTATTGCATCGTAATTAGTCGATAGTATGCGACAATTGTTTTATTTGAAACTTCCCCTATCTGTATTAAATGTTCGCGTTACACTTATTTGTTATAAAAATTAACTTTAAGAGTAAAACGAATGCGGAGTAATTGTTCAACTTCAGTATAAGGAATTTTTATGCTTTTGAAGCAGGCAATGGGCGCTAATTCTTAAAAATAACACAATTTCACAATTGCCTGTTTGCGTACAGTTTTCCAATTTGTATTTTGTACTTAAGACGTATACTACATATACCATTTACATATTTCTAATACTTTCCTCGTAATTAAAAATAAATAATAATGACATAAAAGAGAAAACTACTCTATATTAGATATAAGATTTTAATTTTTTATATATTTTGTTTAACATTATAAAAATTGTATTACCAATATTAAATGTTTATAACTAAATTATCACATTATTCTTTATAATTTAATAAATACTGAAAAAAACTATTTTTTATCTATAGAAAAGATTAAAAATTATAAATTACAAATCTTTAAATTGTTTTTTGCAACAATGTTTTCAGCAGTCCATCCTTTAAACCAAGGATATACTATTTTAATATTTGGAGATTTTATGATGTCGCTCTTTGCAGATTAAATTGATTTAATTTTTTTTATCCAAAAAACAATTTTAATTTCCAAATAGAACTACTGAACGTTATTAGAAATTAGAAACTTAACTATAACGACTACATTTACTTATTGCTCCAAGACAGAATGAAAGTAAATGTGTAAAATGAGAGAGAAGGAGTAAGGAGAGGGTACGTTTGGGTGCATTATATACTCTCACAATTCGTCAGACTCTGGCACGTAAAAATTTAAAAAGTGTCTACAAAACTTTATAATAAAAACGGTTACAAATTAACTCAATTCGTTACTCGACGAAATTGTGAATCAATTCCAATCAATGAAAATAATTGTATTGGTTATGCGGATGTTTTGGGTAAATTTTTACAACTTTTGGTAAGAACTCACATTATGTCTAAAATAATATGTACCGGTAAAAGATCTAATCTTAATGTTAAAGTAGATAGATAGATAGATTAATTTTGAGGTATGCCGGTGTAGAACGCGACCAGAAGTCGGAATTTGTTCCTCGGGAGATTGATTACGGTTTTAAACCGTCTGAGGTTATAACCCCCCATTAGCAACTTGGCATGGCGCATGCCTTGAAGATGTTGCCAATGTCTCTCCCTGCCTGCTCTTTCCTCTTTACGGAGCAGCTCTTTAATGGTGTGTGGACCAACCGCTACGCACGGTTCTGGTCCTACCATGTTTGATGAGGCTGCAGAGCGGGCCAACTCGTCAACCAGTTAATTTCCTGCTATACCCCTGGGACCAGGCACCCAGATGAGGTGCATTCTATTGAGACTTGATAGGCTGTTCAGCCGTTCTATACACTCCTGCACTAGTAGCGATTCGACCTCAAACGCCGAGGTTTAAGTGCTGTCTGACTATCGCTGAGTATGGCGATACTCTTATTGCGATAGTCGCGTTGGAGGTTTATCTCTACACACCGACTTATAGCATATACTTCCGCCTGTAATATGCTAGGAAAACTTCCCATGGGAATGGAGAGCTGGTGCGTGGTCCTACGACCACTGCGCCAATCCTCTCCGCCGTTTTCGAGCCGTCGGTGTACCACTTGATAGTACTGTTCCTTAGTAGTAGGTCTAGCGTGGAATCGTTCCATTCTGCCTTACTGCCAAGGCTGACCCTGAACTTCCTAGTGAAGCTTACTGTTTTGGTAATGCTGTCCCTCGGAAGAAGGGCCAGTGGCATTGCGTCACTTAGGGCCTTCATCTGCCCCCACACCCCTTATCTCTAGTGCTCTTGACACGCTCTCGTGAGACGTATTGTCAAAAGCATCTTCGATATCAAGGAAGGCGCATAACAGCACCTCACCCCCGTCTAACGAACTTCGAATCTCTGAGGTTAGCTGATACAGAGCAGTATTGGTTAATCTGCTTGCTCTGTAAGCATGCTGAATCGCGTGTAGCGGTGCAGCCTTCAGCACCTTCGATCTTATTTCGTGATCAATGATCTTTTCCATACTTTTCAGTAGGAAAGAAGTTAGACTTATTGGTCTAAATGAGTTTGCCAACGAATAGTCTTTCCTTCCTACCTTGGGTATTAAGATCACCTTTGCAGTGCGCCAAGGTTCTGGGATATCCCTCATCAGCCGAACAAGGTGGGGCAGTAGGACCTGGCCCCTCTGTTGCATAAAAGCTGGAAGGATGCCATCCGCACCCGGAGACTTATATTTTTCAAAGGAGGCCACAGCCCACTTGATGGTGCCCACTTCTCCGCAGTGAAGAGCTGTTTTGCGACTGTCCAATCTAAGCGAGATGGCTTTTGTTCGACCCTGGGTCGAATTAGGTCTTCTCTAATTGTCTCCGGGAAGTGCGCAAGTAGAAGGGCCGTGGCTCTTTCCTCCGCGCTGGACGTATAGGTCCCATCCGGTCTTTTAATTCCTAGTACTGTGTCGGTCTTGCCCCTAGCCAGAGCCTTATGCAGCCTTGCAGCCTCTGGCGCTGAGAAGACGCTTTCACAAAACTTCCTGAAGCTCTTCTGCTTTGCTGACCTAATCTCCTTGTTGTAAGCAGTTAGGCCGCACCTATAGTTCTCCCAGTCCCCGGTACGCTTAGCCCTGTTAAATAGCTTGTGTACCGTTTTCCTTAGGTCTGAGAGCCTACTTGACCACCAGGGACAGTTTTACTGCCGTCCAGCTGCCCCCTCCTATTGAGATTTATTTCAAGCGTATCCCTAAAGGTGGCCCTGTCCGTGTTTTCGGGGATACGCCTGGGAGGGAGTTGCCTGACCTCTACCCCTAGTGCGAATCTTATGATGCGGTGATCTGACATGGAGGGTTCCGATGACACTCTCTATTGCCCGATCAGCCCTGTCGTGAGTTCGTTACCAAGAGTGATGGCAAGCACCTCCCTTCTTACACTGATTATAAAGGTGGGTTCGCACCCCACGTTTACAATGCTTAGATTCCTACTTACTATAAATTCAAGTAAGGACTCACCCCGTGTATTTCAGTCTGTGCTGCCCCATTCCGTGTGATGGGCGTTGGCGTCGCATCCCAGGACGAGGGGCAGTTTGTTCCTCCTGCAGTATTCCACGAGGTTTCCGACGGCCTCTGGGATTGCTGTCGGCGTGTCTCTCGTAAAGTAGGCCGCTGTCAGGACGAAGTCCGCTCCTTCGTTACTTTTTGCCTGCACAGCGACCAGGTCTTGTGTTAGGAACCCTGAAATACAAAAGAAATCAATATCGTTCCTAATTACTTTACAGGTTCTGGGTCTCTCACTTGATAGATCCCAGATTACCTTATTATTCCACATTTTGAGGCCTCTGACCTGTCCCTTGTAGATCCATGGCTCCTGGATCAGTAGTATGCCCAGACCATCCGCTGTGAACCTGCTCGCGATGACAGCCGAGGCCGACGCCGCGTGGTGCAGGTTCACCTGGGCAACTTCTATTTGTGGACCCACTATAAGATCGGTTCCATGAGGAGCTCCTCACCTTCGCCGTCCTCCGCGTTGCCACCCGCTAGGTCCTTGAGTCCCTCGAGAAGCTCTTGCGTGGAGGGTAGCGCCCCCCCCCTTGTTCGCCAGCCTTCTTCGTAGGGACCATCACCATGGTTTCGGCAGTTGCCGCCTGCTCCAACGTACTGGTGCCGGGATGAGTCGCAACCTCATCTACCAGCATCTTCTCCCCCGTTTCGCTTTCGGTGGCCGTCTTAGGCTTAACAGGCCTCAGGACCACCGAGGTGAATCTGTAGTTCAGTCGGAAGCTCGCTCTCCTGACGAATTTATACGATTCGTCATCGATGCAGAGATTGAGCCTCCACCCTGAATCCTCGACCTTGCTGGTGACTACTCGCCAGGCCGATATGCTAAGGCCCTCCTTCTGATTTTGAATGAGCCCGAGAGCAAACTTATATGGCTTACCTGCGCACCTGGGGAGGAACACCGTCATGCTATGCATGGGCGGTATGTCTCCCCCTTTTTTGCGCAGAAGACGGGGCCCTTCCAGCTTGAAAGCGATCTCCTTTAGCCAGCTAGCAGACCTCTCGTCCTTGCAGTCCACCTGCAACATCCCTCCTTTAAAGTATACTCCATGCCCCTGTGCATTGCTGCCGCTTGGTGTTAGGCGGCTCCTGTGGCGTTAGTTTAAGTGTAACAAACAACCGTTAGATGAATAAAACTATTCCGTCTTAACTATGATCGTCTCACACTAATATGTGAACTTGCTGAATATCTTTGGCGTTAACGAAAGCTGTTAAAAAGTGGGAATAATCATTTCAAATGATCATATAATCAAATGCATTTTATATATTTCTTATAATAGTTCCGTTCAACCCATATCAATATCATGTACGCAATACACAAAACTGCACTCTTGTTTTCCAGTCATAATTGCTTTATGTCGTCCACTGCTCGAGATCTTGCAGAGTTCTCGGGATCTTTTAATAAATTTATGATAACTTTACGACTTCTCTTTCAATCTTAACAAAAAAGGCTGAAATAAACAATATTGTGGTGGAAGTATACATGACATACGGCAAATCATTTTAAAACCGCAAATATCCATTAATCCGTATTAAGTCAAACATATAAATAATTTTCTCGGTTTATTATACTAAAACTTCATCTAAAAACTGAAAAATATATTGTAAAAATAAAAAGTTTAATTTTATATAAATTACATATTTAAAAGATTTACAACTAACTAAAATAAATTATTGAAATTTGTACATATAAATATATGTACTTTCAATCAACACGGTAGTTATTATTAATATATATTCACAATTATATAAAATATTAAGGGAAGTGTTAAGTTATCTATTTGATCTGTATGCGCCTCAACTAAGGAAGTTGTTAATATTGCTATTGCTGTGGTAAACCACTTCATAGGTGTCAAATTAATGTAACCACAGTAGTTTAAAAACATTGTTGCCAAAAAAGTCATCCCCATAAATCCTAAAGTACCTTCTAAAGATTTTTTCGAGCCTGTAAAATTTAAATTGTATTAAAATAGTGTTGCACATTTATTTATTGTTTTATATACTTACAACGCCACTTAATGCGGCCAAATTTTGAACCAACCACACTGGCAGCAGTATCGCCGAATCCAATAGTCAGAACTCCAGCTAAAACTGGAAGTATTTGGGAATGTTCATTCGTATACACATTTTCCCCACAAGGGCAAGAGCTTATCCAAAGGGGCATGGAACAGCCAATAAGTAGACAGAATGGTGTTAATGCGAGTAAACCAGAATCTTTCTCATCGGAGAATGATGCGAATGCTCTGCGCAAAGGTATAGCCAGTGGCGGTATGTTGCAAACACGAATTAGTTCAAAAACAGTGAAAATTGCAAAAGCCACTCCAGTAGCAATATATAGAAAACTACATTGATAAATTATTCCAGGTACGAACACAAGCACTATAAGGATATGAAATATTTTTCTTATTCTTGTGGAAGCTTTCTCCCCATTGCCAATTTGCCACCTCACAGTCAAAATTGTCAACACCACCAATATTAGGTAGAAAACAACTATGTTAACCTGTAAGTTCAAAATGACCAGAAATTTCATATTGCAAAATTACTGTGTTACTTACCCTAACTTGGTCTTGTAATATAAAATTCAATAAGAAAATTATGGGCACTGGAATCGTAATAGGAGTGCATGTTACACCTATAACTAAAATAAACATTAAGGCATAAAAGTAGGCAGGCCCGCGTAGAGCTTTGGCAGCCGATAGTAACCAACAGATTGCAAGAAGATAAGTTAGTGCACACTGCAAAAAAAATATGCTTAAAAATACACAACGTTATATTTATTTACAAACCAGCATTATAATATTAAGATCTTCAAATGTACTCCTATTTCCAGTTTTTCGCAATAAACTGAAAAACTTTAAAATTACATTTAATAGGAAAAGCATCAATCCCTGAACGAGTATAGATGCCTCGCCGAAGCTAAAACAATCGGGTAATCCACATAGTACACGCATGTAAGAATTCTGATATATAAAGGTTATGATAAAGCCCAAAAATAGTCCATAGCTCCACGACTGTTGCAATAAAACTTTGTATAATATTGCGGTAATAAAGCCAGGTACAAATGCAATAAATAGTTTGAGCAGCAAAGTCGTCTTGCAGTATATATTCAAAAAGAAGCAGAGGTTTTCTATGCTCATACCGATTGCGGCAATTGTGAGTATGGGTTGCGTGGAAACTTGCCCATTACATTGGTTTTCGTGGATTAAGTTTGAAGCAAAGGCAAGTGGAAGTAGCAAACACAGCCAGTAACCAGGAGAAGCGTTCGGTCTGGTAATGTTAATCATAAAACCATAAAATATTACTCAATAATAGCATAACCTTATCTAAGATTATAAATTAGGCGATCAGATGTTACTATATTATTGAAGAAAGGCGCACTAATAGTCATCAGTGTCCATGTACCGTAATTATATTTGTACCTTACAAATAGGGCATTTGGAATTCTTCCGTTTCCTGTGTCCGCAATTCCATCTTCATTCTCACTTGATTCTGGACCAACGTCATCCTTTTCTATTCCCATTATTTTATGTCGTCATTTACTATAGCGTGCACTTGCCGAAACAATGTCTTCGTATTGTAGAAATACAACGTTTCCGTCTGTTCTTACAGCTAATAATAAATAAATACAAAACTGAATATTTTTAACAGAGGCTGCTTCTTTTTACATGCACAATTCATTCACAGTTGAATATATTGAGACGTATTATTGTGGCGAACACAAATGCCAGAACAAAATAGAATCACCGATAAACTACTAGAATGTTGGAGTAGCGATGTTTTGGTAAAAATCTTCTATATTAAGGCTGCCGGCTCATAAAAAACTACAGTTCTAATTAGTGTGCTGCTTAGTAAACAACTATAAACACTAAGTTCCAAACTCGAATAACGAGTAATAAGTGTTAAAATGTTTATATTAGAAATAAAGATAAGTGTATAGCCATTAAATTAGTGATCGAACTCAAGAGTTTAAGGCACGGTTACCGTTTGACATTTTTTTTAAACCAAAAACTGGACCAAATTGGGTAAAAATGGGGAAAACTTTAGTTTAGCATCCCACGATTTCAGGGTTAAGAGGAGTATGGTTGGATAGAGGAGATTCTCCAGATCACGAATATATATAACCGGAAACTTATAGTTTTCGAGATATTTGCATTTTAAGTTGAAAATTTGACAAATTTTATTTTACAATTTCTCGACTTATTACACACTAACACTTCACTACAATGTTTTTACATATTTATTTTATATTAAATATTTAAATATTTGCTTTAAATAAGCATTTTATTTTAACACAATTTTCGTTAAATGAACAATAACAAATGGATTCCATGTTGTCAGATAATAAGTGTTGCCATATCCAAACGAATGAAAGCAATCAAAATAAATAGTTCGTGACCTGGAGAATCTCCTCTATCCAACCATACCCCTCTTAACCCTGAAATCGTGGGATGCTAAACTAAAGCCCACCCTAAAAATGGACCAAACCTAATTCAAATCTGAAGAGGGGAATATGGGGGGGATGTTATTTGGTGTATAGTGTGAGAAAAGTAGTGGGTATGCAGTAGGAGGCGTTCTATCACAAATCATTGACGGGTATGAGAAAGTGGTTGTGTACTACTGCCAGACAATGAGCAAGCCAGAGAGAAATTGTTGTGTAACTCGGAGGGAATTACTGGCATTGGTGAAATGCATCAATCATTTTCAAAAGGCCTCTACAATTCAGAAATCCAGAAGGACAGTTGGCACTGTGGATTGAGAGACCCTTGAGTTATGGCTTCTCTATTGAACATCGCAAAGGTAGTAGTCATGGAAATGAGGATGCGATGTCCCGGCGTCTCTGTAGTGGAATGTAGACATTGCTCAAAAGCTGAGACAAAAGAAGACATTATAGATGTCCGATTAATGACAGACTGGGATCCGGAGGAACTATGGAAATGTCAGCAAGAAGATCCAGATTTGAAATGTGTAATAAATGGATTGCAGATAAATAAACGTCCCACGAGAGAAGAAATAGCTACAGAAAGAATAGGGTCAAAGGCATATTGGGCACAATGGAATAGTTTAAAGTGAGTGTCTGGCTGCTTGCATGGCGTATGTGAATGCGAAGATGGGCAAAGCTCCCGAGCTCTGATAATTGTTCTATTTTCCAATATAAATATTTTTAATCGGGACGATCAGACTAAGCTGGAGGGAAGTGTGGCGAACACGGATGCTAGAATAAAACAGAATCGACGATAATCACATTAGAGAAGACAGCGAAATTCGAGTGGCCTTGCTCGATAAAAACGTCTACTTTGAAACTCTACCTTGAGTTCGATCACTGGATTGTTAAATAAAAGTCCCAATTAAGAAGTATACAGACCATATTTGAAAACGAAATATAAAACTATAGGTTTTTTTATGTAAAAGATATTGTACATTTTTTATCGCAAAATGCTGATATATAAAACGTAAATAAAATTTGTGATGTTAACAATTTATAACCAAATTAAAGAAAACATCAGCTGTACAATTTTCTCTATATACCATACATATATTATATCTTAGAATAACAAGTTTTCTTTTATTGCTCAAATTAATTTTTATCACTTGTAATGCCGCATTTTGTTACAACATTTATTTCTTCGGGTCCACTCATATTAAAATTTAAATTAACTAATTTGCCTTTAAATAAGCTACAAAATGTATTGCATATTTACATATGTACATATTTCTATCGAGATATGAGATATGAACATGTGCGTTGGTACCAAGGGGCGTCAGACGATTTGCAATTCAGTACAAGACAGTCAAAAAAAATTTTCGAATCTCTCAATTGAAAACGAACAGATATAATCAGCTTTTAAATTTCGTTATTTAGAGATGTAGATAAAACCTGAAAGAGAAAAACATGTCGATAACAAATATTTAAATTTCATTAACGCAGTCAAAAAGTATAATATCAAAAAAAGAATAAAATTTAATAAAATGTTGTCTATGTAACACGATAGTTTCGAAATTTATTTGACATTGATTATTTATTATACTTTTACCTGATTGAATTTTTACAAAATATTGTAACGGATTTCTCGATAAATCGGCTAACTATAACTCACTCTTGAGCTCGATCACTGGATTGTTAAATTAAAGTCCCAATTTAATGCTATACACTTATCTTTATTTCCAATTCCAACAACTTAACACTTATTGTTCGCTATTCGAACTTACAACTTATTGCTTATAGCTTAATTGCTCTTTACACGGCAACACTCTAATTAGAACTGTCTCTGCTGCACAATTCGGCAGCCCTTATATAGTAAATTTTTAACAAAAGTTCGCTACTAGAACATTTTGGCAACTACGAATTCGCTGTCTAGTTGCTTCTGGCAGTTTATCGTTAATTCTGATTTGTTCTGGTACGCGTGTTCGCCACACTGCCTTCTACCTAAGTCTGATCGTCCTGATTAGACATATTTGCGGTACCAAACGATGCAAGCCGTTCCAGATAAACAACCTTCATTTTATTCCTTGGTCTTCCAATGATCTGTATGCGATACACTACATCATTGAGTCGTTTAATAACCTGGTAGACAGCCCTTTCTTTCGTTGTGGGTTATATAACAATACCTAATCGCCTTCAATAAAACCCTCAGAGTTTATTGCCTTGTTGTATTTTGCTTTCATCTTATCCCTCATAATTTTCGTTGGCGTTAATTCCAAATTTTAAATCAATCGGTTGTCGAAGATCATTACCAAAAAATTACCCTTGCTGGAGTCTGCCCCGTTGTTTCATGTACAGCAGACCGATAAGCCATCAGGAACAAGGATATATGGGTATCCCAATCTTTCTGATACTTGTCCACAACTTTCCTCAAATGTTCTTCCAAAGTTCGATTGAATCGTTCTACCATGCCATCGGACTGCGGATGTAGTGCAGTTGTATGGCTTTTGCGGATACCCAGCTTCTGGCATATCTCCTGTATTAGAGCTGATTCAAAATTTCTTCCTTGGTCAGAATGTAATTCTATTGGAACACCATATCTCGATATCCAATTGTTGATGAATACATCCGCTACTGTTCCTGCCTCTTGGTTAGGAATTGCGTATACCTCTGGCCATTTGCTGAAATAGTCCATGACTATCAAAACATATCTGTTTCCTAATTTACTGATAGGAAATGGACCAGCTACATCCATGGCTACTCGCTCAAAGGCGCACCTAAATTGTACTGCTTCATCTGACCATGACTCCTGAACCTTGGCCCTTTAGCAGCAATGCACTCGACACAATTGACGATCCACTCTGTAACTGATTGACGACAACCAACCCAATAAAATCTTTGTTTTAATTTCTCCAAGGTTTTAGTCATACCCATGTGTCCTCCACTTGGACCGTTGTGCAGCTCGTTGAAAACTTCAGGAATTCTTACTTTTGGAACAATCATCAGAGCTCGTGAACTTTGCCCATCTTCGCTTGCCCATATGCGATGCAGGCAGCCAGACACTAACTTCAAACTATTCCATTGTGCCCAATAAGCCTTTGCGACTGGGCTTTCTGCAGCTATTTCTTCTCTCGTTGGACGTGTATTCATCTCCAATCCGTGTATTACACTTTTCAAATCTGGATCCTCTAGCTGACATTTCCGTAGCTCCTCCGGATTCCAGTCTGATGTTATAGTCATTAATCGGACATCTATAATGTCTTCTTTGGCCTCAGCTTTTGAGCAATGTCTGCATCCAGATTACAGGGACGGCGGGACATGGCCTCAGCATTGTCATGACTACTACCATTGCGATGTTCTATAGAGAAGTCGTTACTTCGGAGTCTCTGTGCCAACTGTCCTTCTGGGTACCCCTGCGGGCAGGGGATAGAATATGCCCGCGGCAAGGCATGCCTGTCGTAAAAGGCGACTAAAAGCCAATATGCACTATGACTGTTATTATATTCTTTGCACAGTAATATCAGCATAGTATATGGAGTGATAGTGCTATAATACTCAGCTTGAACTGATATTAGAAACACTTTAAATGAAAAAAGCGAATAAAAAGACATTTGAAGTTCAAGCGACAAATGTCACCAGTCATTTGAGTAATGGGTTGCTCAACTGGCAGTAGTTTAGGCTACGCAGTCTGACCGGAGACTTTCCGGTACCACGGGGAGCAGAAAGCCCTTGGACTTCTGTTCAATCTGCTCATTGGGTTCGGCCCTTTGGGGAGTATCGTGGTGGCTGTGGTTGAAACCTAAATGCTGGAAGAACTGAATTTTCAGTTCGAAAAAAGAAGTTACACAAGTAACTGGGTGCCGTACCCGAAAACGGAAGAGGTTTTAGGTCGGCCTCGAATCATACCAAGATGGTAGTGTGGACCCAGACACACTGCCTTTGGTATCCAAAAAATACTTGCCAAAATTCTTGTATTATTTGGGGCGTTTATCAGACGCGTGTATTGATACGCCGTGCTCTTGAGCACCGTGAGGTAAGGCCGTCGCCGGCAGGTACTCACGTTAATCTACAACGCAAGTTGTCCTTCTGGGTTCCTGAATTGTAGAAGCCATTTTAATGCTGCATGATCTATCCAAAATAAACGTTGATCCTGGGACCGGGTATGCTAACATTGGCGCAGTACTTAACCGTTTCTTCAGAGTTTGGAAAGCCACTTCTTGTTCTTTATTCCATTCAAACTCTGTTCTTTTTCGTGAGTTCATGGAGGCTACTAGCTACGCTGGCAAAATTTGGAACGAATCGTCTATAATAAGTACACAGTCCAAGGAAACTCCGCAATTCATGTAAATTTTTAGGAGCGGGCCAATCTCTTACTTCCTCGAGCTTTTCATTAGCTGTGCAAATGCCCTCCGTTGTCACTTTGTTTCCTAAGTAGCTTACTTTTTGAAAAGGAAACACTTCTTTGGACTCAGCTTCAGACCAGCGCTAGCTATTCGTTGGAAAACTTCTTCCAAGTTCTTAAGGTGTTCATCGAAGCTTTTACCCAACACGATGATATCGTCGAGGTATACCAAACAGGTCTTCCAGTGTAATACTTTTAGTACCTGGTACATAAGTCACTCAAAAGGAGCGGGTGCGTTACATAATCCAAAGGGCATTACGATAAATTGCCATAGACCTTCTCCAACGCTGAAAGCCGTCTTTTCTTTGTCTTCTTCGTTTACCTCCACTTGCCAATAAGCACTTTGCAAACCAAGTGTTGAGAACCATTTTGTGCCTGATAACGAGTCCAGTGTATCATCGATTCTAGGTAGTGGATAACTGTCTTTCTTCGTTACATCATTCAACCTTCTATAGTCCACACAAAATCTCATGTTGCCATATTTCTTCTTCACAAGTACTACAGGTGAGCT